TCGCCCTCCCCTTGGACCCCCTCCCCCTCAACCCCTGCCCGTCTCCCCCCGCACCCCTCATCAAGGCCTCTACGCTCATCTCCGCCAACTTGACCTTCTCCTGCCTCTCCTCCTCCAACATCCTCCCGATCTCATCCCTCACCCCATCCACCCACCGCATGAACTCCTCCACCGCCTCCCGCGCTCCGCCCTCGACCAGCTCGCCGTAGTACTCCCAGGTATCGTCCTCCGGTCCGAACCCCTTCCACCTGACAAGGCACTTGCTGTGCGTAGGTGTGATGGCTACGATGTGCGAGACCTCGTACACCTGTTCGCCGCTCTTCATGGGTGGTGGGCGTTCGTAGGATTCCAGCGGACGTGGGATCAACCACTTCGCGGGGAGGTGGCCGGTGATGGAGTTGTCGGTGGCTGCGAACGTCTTGACCTTTTCGGTGGACGAGGTTTTGGATCCGTTCGATCGGATGCGCTCGAAATCCAACCCGTCAACTCCGTCTTGATCGTCCTCCTGCTTGACCGCTCTCGGCGGCACACTGACCGCTACACTCGCTCTCCCAGCAGATGGACGCCCACGCTTACCCCTCCGAACCGGCGTCGCATCCAACCTCGCCTTGGCCCTTCGATACTTGTACACCTCGCACAACGTATGCTCGATATCCACCACATTCAACCCCGGCTTCCTCGCAGGACACAGATGCGGAACGTCCTCGATCCCGTACTTGGCCCAATACTCCTCCTGATGATCCTGTATCCATCGCATGGCTTCCAGCTCGACCCCGGCGACAAACTTGCCAAAGATATCCACCAGGCAGTGCTTCGATCCCGGCCCGCATGCGGCAAACTCTTCTTCGCTGAAGTCAAAGTGTTCCGAAAGATTCAGATCCAGCAGCAACTGCATAGCCAGGAAAGGTCCCAGGCTCGGGAAAGTGGTGAGCAGCGAATGAGCATCTCGCATATGCTGCAGTCCCGCCAATTTTTGCGGAAGCCCTACCCTCATCATCAGCTGAACCAGCCTCAGCGTCGATTGGAAGGGATACTGCGTGGCGAACTCTCTTGGCGCAGGGATGAAGTACGAGCTGCCGTACACCGGGTTGCCCGCACCGATGTGAGGCATCAGGATGTTCTCGTACGCCGCTGGTGAGAAGCTCTTGAGCGTCGGAGCACCACGGAGCGCGGACTTGATGACTTCGTACGTGCTGATTCGAGCGAACGATCGGAAGAGAAAGATGCGGAAGCACACCTCTTCCAGCTCCTGCGGACCGTCTTGCACGACGGAGGTGAGCACGTACTGTGTCGATCGGTCGAGCACCCGGTAGACGTTGGCGAACTTTGTCGAGCGCAAGACGGGGTCGGATGTCCATTCTTCCTGCGATTTGCCGGCTTTTCGTTCGAGAAAGACGCTGTGTCGGTCGTGTGCGTAGCGGAAGAATGTCTCGAAGACCTCTTCGTTGAGTGGGAGGTGGAAGCCGGCGAGGATGATGACTTCGCCTGGCTGGGCTGTAGAGGATGTGGTGGCTATTTGCGTTGCGGAAGGCTCCCTTGACTTGTCGTAGGCTTCAGCGGCGAGACGCGGGCGCTTGCTGTCTGCGTCGTCGACAACGGGGGTTGGTGATGCCAAGTCACGAACTCGTTTGACGCTCTCGTAGAGTGTCTCTGCAGCTGTGAGCGCCGTCATGGCTTCTATCGCTGACGCTTATCGAGGCAGCAGTCGTGAAAAGTAGGACGGTACTGAAGATCAAGTGAGGTGTTACATGGTGTTTGGGAGAAACAATGGAACTGGTGAGCAAGCGAATGCTCCAAAAATGTCGACGTCCGGTGGTCAGTGCTGCAAGCCACCTTTGTTGGACCCTTGGCCGAGCTTTCAGCATTCAGCGACGGTCAACATTTTCGCACCAAGTTGTTCGGCTTTCTTCCGATTCTTCTGTTCTCTCCTCTCTTACACCACTCGCAACAGCCAATAACTTTCTCCCACGGTGCGATACATGATGTTGCGGTTCACATCTATAGCAACGTCAGGACTGCGGCGAGCCGTCAGCGCTTCCTCTGGCGCTTCGAACTTCTCTTGCAGGAACCCACTGAATCGGATCTACCACCGACGCTTGAAATCCACGCTCGAAGTGGTCCCTGCCTCTGCCTCGGCTCCACGAGAAGTTCCCACGCCGATCCTCTTCCTATCCGCTTCCAAGTGGACATCATCACCTCCCGCATCACAAGCCTTCCGCGACTGGATCCACCACTTCACCTCCCAGGGCTACTCGTCCCTCCTTCTCGACCTCGATCCAGACACCCCGCTAGCTGACATCAAAGACTCGTCCCAGCTCATGGAGGTCTTCGAAAAAGACGCAATTGAAACACTGCGCGAGGCAGGCCAAACACCACCCTTCCCACCCGTCATGATCTCGAGAGGGCCAGCTTGTCTCATCGCACAGACGTACGTCTCTTCGCGTCCTCTGACGGCGTTGCAGCTCATTGACCCACCCATCAACAACGCGTACTTGAGGAAAGACCACCCAGAATTGTTGCCAGGGGAGCTGGAGGAGTTCGACTTTGAGGCGACTTTTCCCGTGAGAGTAGTGTGGAGTCGAGCAGAGCTGGCGAGGCAAGAGGAGAAGAGCGTGCCGTGGTACGATGTGCATCGTATCGAGCACGAGAGGGAGGAGGAGGCGGATGAGAGCTTGGACAGGTACACTTTTGTAGAGGAGAAGGAGGGGGCGGAGATGACGCAGGATTGGCTGGAGGGTGAAGTTGGTGTGTAAGTATTTGCGGCGAAGAAGAGTGGTGAGGGGGTTGTTTGCTGATCGCTGTAGAATGTGTATGATCACCAACAGATAGTTTGGAATATTCAGCCGACTTCGTCGACAACGAGGTTGCAGACACATCTGATCTCGAGCCGCATTCCACCACTACGGCAGCAACAAAACCTTCCAAGTCCGAGCTCAACCTACCCGAATGGTTCACCTCCGGATCCTACACCCTGCAACCCGGTTCGCGCAAGTACCCGCTCACACTGGACGAGAACGACCTCGCCGAGAAATTCATCCGCGGCTCCGGCCCCGGTGGCCAAGCGATCAACAAACTCTCGACGAATGTCCAGCTTACACACATCCCCACGGGGACCAAAGTGACGTGTCAAGAGACGCGATCGCGCGATCGGAACCGGGAGCTCGCGAGAAGGAGGATGAGTCTGACGTTGGAAAAATTGGTGAGGGGAGACAGTGGGGGGAGCAGGATCGATCGACAGATCGAAAAGGAGAGGAGGAGGAAGTCGAACAAGAAGAAGAAGCAGAAGCGGAGGTTGAGGGAGAGGGAGCAGGAGGCGGAGGGACAAGCGCTGACTTCGAAGACTCAAGTTACCGAGTAATGTCAGGCAGTGTCGCATCGCAAGCTGGCAAAGTGGCAGACTTTTGCAGACACTCATGAAGATGCGAAGGGTAGCATTTGTGAAACGGTCGAGACATCTATGCGACAATGAAAAACCGAAAAAACATCAATCAAAGCTTGCCAGCCTTGACATCCTCCATAAAGCTCGTCATGACATCTGCCAGCTTCTGCGTCTGCTCCACCGTCACCGCATTGTACAGACTGGTTCGAATACCGCCCACCGACCTGTGGCCTTTGACCTGGACAATCTGGCTTTCACTACACCTCTTCACAAACGCCTCCTCCAACGCCTCATCCGGCTTGTTCTCCCCCGCCCTCGATATGCGGAAGGTGACGTTCATCCTACTTCTCGCCGACGCCTGTCGCACTGTCGGCAAGTACACGCCGTTGCTGTTGTCGATCAAACCGTAGATGAGAGAAGCCTTCTTCTCCGATCGTTCTGTTGCACCTGGTACGCCACCCTTGTTGCGCAAGAGGTCGTCGAAGACGAGACCGGAGGCGTAGATGGCAAACATGGGTGGAGTGTTGTACAGCGAAGCGTTGTCGAGCATGTTTTTGTAGACCAGGGTGGTGGGGATGCGAGGACCGCCGTGGGGCACGCCGAGGTCGGGGTCGACGATGAGGTCTTTTCGGACGATGGCGACGGTGGTGCCGGAGGGGCCGACGTTCTTCTGCGCACCAAAGAAGACGATGGCGTGGGAAGCGACGTCGATGGGTCGAGAGAGGATGTTGCTGGAGCAGTCGGCTACGAGAGGCACCTGCTTGCGGTATTCGTCGGGAAGCTGGTCGATGGGGAAGCCCGGGTTGGGGAACTCGACACCGTCGACCGTCTCGTTGTCGCAGTAGTAGAGCATGGCAGGTTTGCTTTCAGCCGGGCTCAACTTCCATTCGCTGATGGGAGGGATGGAGCCAAACTTGCCATTCGCACCTTCGACTTTGCGTGCGTCCACGGCGACATTGGTGGTAGCACCCAGACGAGCCGCTTCCTTGACCGCTTTGGCCGTCCACGATCCCGTCACGGCATAGTCGCAGGGAGGACCCTTGTTGCCGTTCAACTTGAAGTAATCTGGGTTCTTGATCGCGTGCGCGGCAAGCAAATTGAGAGCGGTGGCAGAAAACTGTTCGGTTCCGCCACCTTGGAGGAAGAGGACGGCGTGCGAGTCGGGCACGCTGAGCAGAGCTCGCAAATCGGCTTCGGTCTTGTCCATCAGCTTTTGAAATGTTTTGGATCGGTGCGAGAGCTCGACGAGACCCATACCGGTGCCGTCGAAGTCGAGGATGCCCTGAGCAGCCTCGAGAAGGACCGAGGTGGGGAGGGAGCTGGGACCAGCACCGAGGTTGATGGTCTGGTCACGCTTGGAAGTGTCTAGTGTCTTGCTCATGATGTTGTGCTTCGACGGGAGTTGATGATGAGAAGAGACTTATGATGAAGTGAGATAGAATCTGTAGCTCGTCGTCGAACACGATCTGGTCGTCGAGCTGTGATGGTGGTTTGTGGTACGAATGACTCGAAACGGTACGGTGCATTTTGAGAAGAAATGCAGAGGCGGCAATCTAACTTTCCTAATCAAATATTTCGCACATTCGGATCTCGGGCTTTTCAGCGCACGGTCTTCGGCAACGAAATGGAATGGTCCAGCTCGACTCTTTGCGCTTTTACCACGGAACGAGTCGCTGCTCGGTACTTAGCCATGAATGGTGACCACAACGACGATGAAGCGCCGCAGCAGCACCATGGATCGGGCGACAATGCTGCAGCTGGGCCTTCCAACTCGAATCAGATCAGCACGTCGTTCTTTCCACCCCCGCCTCAGGTCTACAAGAACTTCACAAAGCGCAACTTGAGATATCTCGATATTCTCAACTCGCATCCGTTGGCAGATGGCGAACCTTCGTGGGATCAGCTAGATGCGACACAGAGGCTCGAGCGTCAAAGTGCGATACTTCGACAGCACACCTCAACCTCCAAGACCAGTGCTCAGGAGCAGCAAGACGACGATGTCGATATGGCTGTCGTCGAAGACAGCGCCAACGACCAAGGGTCTGACGAACTACCGGACTTTGATCTGAAAGCAGAGCTCGAACCACCAAACGTGGATTGGATCGAAGAGGACGGTGGATACACAGTCTTTGGGCAGCTGTGGCCCATCCCCGATGTGATGCCATCTCTAGAACAGCTCGGCATTCCCGTCCTATATCCACTCGAAGGCACAGATCGCAAGGAGCTGCTTCTCACCCTACTACGGACACTCCTGCAAACATATCGAGAGATCACCGGTGACTTGCTGAAACCTGCGCAGCCGTACGACGTGTGGGTGCCTGCTGTTCCAGATCCAAGCCTCACACCGGAGCAACAGCAACAGCAAATGGCGACCAACCCAGGATTTTGGACCCAGTCGACCGAAGCAAAGGATAGGCTGAAGCACATGCAGAATGTAGTGGTCAACATGCAGTTCCTCATCAACGAGCTGAGACCGGTGCAGGCAAAGGAGACGCTCAAGTTGATCATGCAGATGCAGCTCGAGAGGCGGAAGCAGGAGACCAAGCTGATCAGGGACAAGTGTGAGAGCATGCGTTCTCGTGTTGAAGAGCTCAAGGCTATGCTTGCGAAGCAGAGCAGACCATGACACTGGTGATGCAACGCTGGTCTCGTGTACCTTTCGCGTCAATATACCCACTCGAATCTCGTCTAGCATCGATCGACCTTGTCCTAGAGTTGGCGTTCTGTGCGGTGAATTTCCGCCCTCTTCGAGTGTTTGTGTGGCTCGGCTACCGAATCTTCTTGAGCTATTTTTCAGTGCAAATTTCTTGCCGGCGTAACATTGTCGGACCCAGGAAATATCTGGCTGGACTATGCACCGGTGACGCCGAAATGCAGCTGATGGATCGACGGGCCGAGATCTCTGGCTGCGTCGCTGCACATCTAATTTCCAATTTCCCAAGGCAGAGCACGAGCCATGGCAATCCGATTCGGAATCTGGCTGTGGAGATGAGCTTTTGTACTGAAGAGCGGATCGAACAAGGAAGGACCCTTTGGGGACGCCCTTTTGGAACGTCATCTAACTTAACTCAAAGACCGAGTGCGAGTGCGCCTGACCGCACAGCCTTGCTCTCGCATCCGGTCCACCCCGCTTCTTCGGCTTCTATCTTCCATCCACTCGATTGCATTCGAAGTTCCCTCATCTCGTCCCGCTTCACTCATCTTCCTCCTCCAACCGCACATCGCATCAAGTCGTATCGACGCAACCGGACACTTTGCTTGACGCCTACACCTGTTCATTTTATTATCTCCTGCCTGTTGTGGCATCCGGGTCTCTCGACAAACACAGCGCTTCAGGTTCGAGCAAACCAGTCGCCGGCTACCATGCAGAGCCCAGCTCCCTCGGGCGCAGGAGGCGCAGCCCCTCCTATCGCACTCTCGCCCGTCGAGAGGTCCGCGTTCGCCCACCTCTTCAACCTCGCCGATCCCGAACGCACTGGAATCGTCACCGGTGATGCCGCCGTCTCCTTTTTCGCCAAATCCAAGCTTCCACCTGCGATCCTCGGACAGATCTGGGCGATGGCCGACAGCGCAAACAATGGTTTCCTCACTCCTCCGTCCTTCAGTATCGCGCTGCGCCTCATTGCGCATGCTCAACGCGGGGAGACCATCACAGAGGCTTCCATCAAGCGTCCCGGCCCACCTCCCACCATGGAAGGCGTCAACCTTCCCCTCACCGCACAGCTTACAGGATCCCAATCCGCAGCCGCCGTCCCGACCAACATGCCCGGCGTGATCGAGATCAAGCCCGAGGACCGCGCACGCTATACCCGCATCTTTGCCAATTCCGGACCCGTCGGAGGCCTCATCGATGGTGATCGCGCCAAGGAGATCTTCGTCAAGTCCAAGCTCCCATTTGACAAGCTCGGTGCAATTTGGAACCTCGCCGATACCCAAGCCCGTGGTTCCCTGGACCTTACCGACTTCATCATCGCCATGCACTTTATCCAGAACACCATGAATGGCACGCTCAACTCCATCCCCGCCGCTCTTCCTCCTGGTCTGTACGAGCAGGCAAAGGGCTCTGGAGGTGTCGGCTCACGTGTCATTCCTGGCTCGCCTCTCGCTGCTCAGAACACCGGCGGCTCGGCTTCCGGGTTCGGTGCGTCCGCCATTCCCCGTCAGATGACTGGCTCTTCCTTCCCAGCTCAGTCCGCTTTCCAGTCGCCCCGTCAGCCCAGTGCTGCACCTGCTGCTTCTTGGGACGTAACGCCGGACGAAAAGGCTCGCGCAGACCAATTCTTCGACGGTCTCGATGCCTCCAAGCAGGGTAGGCTCGATGGCGCCACCGTCGTCCCCTTCTTCATGCAGAGCAAGCTCAGTGAGTCCGTCCTCGCCCACGTTTGGGATCTCTCCGACGTCACTCAGAGCGGAACCCTCTCGAAAGACGAATTCGCCGTTGCAATGCACCTTATCAACGGTCAGCTTGCGGGCAAGCCGCTTCCGCAAGAGCTTCCCTCCAGCCTCGTACCTCCTTCGATGCGCAACATGGATCTTCCCACAGCCGTCAATCCACAGCAGACCGATACGCAGAAGGACCTCTTTTCGCTCATGGACGATGATCCGCCCGCACCCACCATCTCTGCTTCGTCCGCCTTCATCACTCCTTCAGCGGCTGCACCCGTGGTCGCCGCTCAGCAGAGCACGCCATTCGCAGCAAGCAGTCCAGCTCCAGCTCAGCGCTCGGCACCTAGCCCCTTCGATGACGACTTCTTCGGCGGTGCCAACTCTTCCGCAGCTACGCCTGCAACCGCTCAGCCCACACAGCCTATTGCAGCAGCTCTCTCACCCGCTGCCACCGGCGGAAGCTTCGGCAGCGCCGCTGCGTTCAGGTCGCCTGGTATCGCGTCGCCTGGCGGTCCCGCTTCACCTGCTGCTTCCACGTCACGGCTTGGCACTGCGTTTGCTGCTGCAGTACCTGCCTCCGCAGCTGGTGCTGCTGCGAGCGCAGCTTTCGCGAGTGGAGGAGGCTCCGATCAGAGCGCAGACTACGGCAACAAAGCTAACCAGCTTCAAAGCAACGAAAAGGCTGTATCGGACCTGCAGTCCCAGCGCGGCACCCTCGAGTCCTCGATCGCCACGAATGCCTCCTCCATCGCCGAGCTCGAATCGCGTCTCGCCACCGTTCGCGGTCAGCACGAGGCCGAAACCAAGCTCGTCAAGGATCTCGAAGAGCGTCATCAGAAGCAGAGCGGCGAGCTCAAGGAGCTGCGCGAGACCGTGATCCGCGAAGAGAGCGAGCTCAGCGCTCTCAAGGCGGAGAAGGACGAGCTGGAGCAGGCGCTCATGCGCGACCGCGAAGACGTTCGTGACATGAAGAAGCGCATGAACGATGTCCAGACAGAGACCAAATCGCTCAAGGAGCAGCTCGAGAAGCTTCGCAAGGATGCTAGGCAGCAAAAGGGTCTCGTCGCCATCAGCAAGAAGCAGCTCACTACCGCCGAAGCCGAGCAGGACAAGGTTGCTGGTGAGATCGAGTCTGTGCAGCGAGGGGATCTCGGCGGCGACGACGAAGCAGGGCAGCACCAGGCTGGTCCCGCGGTTCCAGCTGCTGCTGCTCCTGCCACACGCAGCGTCGGTGTGGAACCGGTCACTAGCCCTGCAGCCAGCGTCCGCAGCTACAATCCTTTCGACCGTTTCGGTGCTGGCGCCGGTACTGCTGCCTCGCAGCCTGGAACTCCCAGTGCTACCCACCAGCCATCGACTGCCACTTCGCTCCTTGCTGGCGCTGGTGCAGGTGCCGCCCTCGGCGGCGTTGCTGCCGCTACCGCACACCACGAGTACGACTCGCATAATGCGACGCAGACGTCTCACGCTGGTGATGAGGCTTTTGGACAACAGCAGACTCATCAAGCAGACCCCTTCGGAGTGCAGCATACCGACGGTCAGCCCACCTCGACCCTTGGTTTCGACGATGCCTTCGCGGTGCCAGGCGAGACTGGTGCTCCTACTTCATCGACCGCTGCAGGACACGGTCAAGCTGCCTCGCAAGACTTTGACGACAACTTCGGCGACGATTTTGGCGCGACCGCTTCCGCTGTACCTGCCTCTGCCGCTAACGAGTCAGCGGCGCCCGCCACAGCTGCTGATGAGAAGGTCACCGGCCAGCTTCACGCAGCCGAACTCGGCGCGGCTGGTGGCTTGGGTGCAGGAGCTGGCGTGCTCGGTGCCAGCGCCGTCCATGCGCCCGCATCGTCTCATGATACCGAGGCAGTCAAAGGATTCGAGTCAAGCACGGACACTGCCGGGCCGTTTGGCGGAGATGGCTCTACCACTGACACGAAGCGTCCGGAGGCACCGGACGCGGACGAGGACGAGAACAGCTCGGACGACGAAGATGACGGTCCGGAGGAGGTGGGCGGCTACAAAGCCAGAGGGTACGACACGCCCGTCGGAGGCGCTGCTGATCGCTTCCCCGAGGTTGACAACAGTGCCGACGGTGCTCCCGCTTCGATCGCGACGGACCCGCAAGACGACGGCGAGCACACTGTGCCTGGCGGATTGGGCGACGTGACAGCTGCTACTGCGCCCGCCTCTGCGGCTCCTGTGGATCCAGCCTCGATTGGACAAATTGGAGAACGTACGGCCTCGACCACCTCGATTGCGCCCATCAGTCGCCAAGAGACGATCTCTGAAGGGCCGAGCGAGCCTTTGACGACATCCGAGCCTACTCAGACCAAGGACACTGAGAGCAGTCACATGGGTGCGGGCACGGCTGCAGCAGCCGGTGGCATCGGCGTTGCCGCTCTGGCTGCTGGCGCTGGTGCCTTGACTCTGGGTGAACGAGGTCACGGCGACACCACGCCCAGCGTTGCTTCGCCCACAGATGACAATGTGCCCCTCAGCCAGCTTCTCGAATCGAAGGGCTCGAAACTGGCTGCTCCGACTGCAGCAGCCGATGCCTCGGCCCCGACTGATCCTTCTGCTAGCCCTACTTCATCGACCAAGACTCGGCGCGCACCTCCCCCCGCGCCGGTTCGCAGCGCCACAAATCTTTCGGCAACGTCGGGTGCTCCGGCTGTGGCTCCTACCGTGCTTGCTGCCGAGCCCGCAGCTGCAGCCGGTGCCGCTGCTCCTGTGACAGCTGTAGGAGACTCGAACAAGTCCACCAACCCGTTCGGCATGGACGATTTCGGTGCCGGTAGCGGACAGTCGAAGCCGCCGGCGAACGACAGCGGCAGCAACTTTGATGACTTTGATTCTGCATTTGAGGATCTTGGTCCGTCAGAAGCCGTGCCTTCGTCGACTGGAGCAGGTGCGACCGGTGCAGGTGGGGCAAGCGCCTCGACCGGGTTTGACGATGCGTTTGACAATGATTTCGACTTTGTGCCCTCGTTTAGCGGTCCTGGTGGTGCTGGTCCAGCTGCTGCTCCTGTCGGTGCTGCCAGCGGAGAAGGCGCTACTCGTGGCGGCAACAATGCTTTCGACGATTTCGATGCGGCTTTCGACAGCGCACCCAGCGGTGCATCGGCGGCCAAGGATACTTCGTCGGTGCCTGCGGCCGCTGGCGCCATCCCTGCTCTGGGTGCAGTGGCTGGTCTTGGTGCGGTCGCTGGGTCTGGAAGTCGCGCTGACCGCGGGACTGCTTCGAATGCCACTTCTGGATTCAGCTTTGAAGACGCTTTTGATCCGGCGCCTACCGGCGGCGCTTCAAACACGGCTGCGCCTGCGCCGATCAACACGTCCACTGCTGCAGCGACTTTAACTCCTTCGGGCGGCGTCACTTCACCTTCATCCGTATCCTCGCCGGTGGTACCTGCAGGAACGTACGCACCTCCACCTGGTCCGCCACCTGGATTCAACGCCCCGCCGACGCTTCCATCGCGATCGTCCACACGAACCTCCGGAGCTGCTGCTGGAGGAGGAAGCGCAGCGATCGCCGAAGCCGAGGACTACACGGGTGCTCTCCCCGACGACGCTGCACCGGTCAAGCAGCTGTGCGGAATGGGCTTCACACGCGACAAAGTGATTCAGGCTCTGGAAAAGTCCAACTACCGAACGGAGAAGGCGCTCGAGAGACTCTTGGCTTCCGCATAGAAAATGTAAATTTTTGGTTGATTAAGCGTACAGGGATGGTGCTGCGGGAGAACCGAATAGTGCTGACCAGGAGGGTGGGTCTGTGAGCGATGTGGGGGCAGAGGAAGAGGGGAGGAGGGAGAGGACGACGTTGGCGAGCGCGTGTGCGTCGGACCTCGTATCACCCTCCGCAGCAAAGTAGAGCAGCGCCCCAAATCGATCTTTTACATCTGAGGAGTCTACATGCTGTACGAGCTTTCGTGTCAATAGAGATCCTGGAATGTGCGGCACTTCGGTTTTCTGCTGTAGTGGGTTGAATGCGGGGAACTTTGCGCGTAGTTGGGTGAAGATCGGTGTTGTAGCAGGCAAGGAGGAGGGGGGAAAGAGCGAGAGGAGTGGGGTGGAGAACTCGTCGTCTGTACGTGCGGCGGAGTCGAGCGATGTGAGGTAGAGGATCTCGGTGAAGCGGGTGGAAGAGAGAAAGGAGGTGAGGGCGGAGATGTATGTGGACTGGGTGGATTTGAGGATGGGAGAATGCTGTTGAATGACGGTCAGGGATCCGTTGGAGAACACTGTACAGTTGAGAAGGGGAAAATGATCAGTATCGGAGCTCGAATGTGAGAAATGTACAAAAGAGTGGTTGCGCTTACCTTCGAGAGAAGTGGTGATGTCGTTCGAATGCGCGGATTCGGAAGGACCGACAAAGGGAAAGCAGAAGCTAGGATCGATGCGTCCTACTTTGACGAGCGAGAGAGAGGCGTCGTTAATGAGCAGGTCGATGGCCAGTTGGGGCACGGAGCCGATGGACACGGCTGGTATGATGAGAGTTGTACCGTCGAGCTTGACGGGTTTGATGGGTGTGTAGAAGGGTGTTTGCGTCATGGCTGCGGCAGGGAGGCGATAGGTGAGGATGACGGTGGAGGGAGAGAAAGAGTGTGCGGTTCTGGACGTGTCAAGGGTCTTCTTGAGGGTGGAGGCGCGGGGAATTGTTACGTCGTCGTGTTGATGGCATAGACTTGAGCGCCCAAAACCAAAGGGCTTGCGTGGAAATTCAAGGCTTCGTAACTGTGACAAGGCGGTGAGAAAGCGCGTTCGATCACTCCACATTCACTTTACCGCGCAGCAGCAGCAGCAGCACGCATTGTCCACCCTCTCGACCAACACCATTCCCACCTCGTCTTCCTCCTTCCTCCTCATCGATCCCTTACCGTTCTCCCCTTCAGCCTCGTCTAATTTCACTGCAAGCCCAGAACAGGCTTCACATATCGCCCACCATGTCAGCAGCGACGGCGCACCACTTCAGCGAAACCTCCACCTCCTCGTCCGGCTTCGACTTCTCCAACTACTCGCGCAACACCTTCCTCTCCAACCAAGGTCTCGGTGGCTTCACCGCCACTTCCACCGGTACCACCATCGTCGGATGCATCTTCAAGGACGGTGTCGTACTTGGAGCCGACACTCGCGCGACCGAAGGTCCGATCGTAGCCGACAAGAACTGCGAAAAGATCCACTACCTCTCGGACAACATTCGGTGCTGCGGTGCAGGTACCGCTGCAGACACCGAGTTCGTCACGCAGCTCATCTCGTCCAACATGCAGTTGCACGAGCTCAACACGGGGCGTCCGCCACGCGTGGTTACGGCGATGACCATGTTGAAGCAGCGGCTGTTCCAGTACCAGGGCCACATCGGGGCTGCCCTTGTGTTGGGTGGGTACGATGCGACGGGTCCGCACCTCTTCACCGTCGCGCCGCACGGTTCGACGGATAAGCTGCCGTACGTGACCATGGGCAGTGGCTCCCTTGCTGCGATGGCAGTGTTCGAAAGCGGCTGGGTCAAGGACATGGAGAGAGCAGACGCAATCCAGCTCGTCGCAGCAGCTATCAGCAGCGGTATCTTCAACGACCTCGGAAGTGGTAGCAACGTAGACGTCTGCGTCATCGAGAAGAACAAGACAGAATACCTGAGGAACTTCGAAACACCAAACGAAAGGGTCCGCAAGGAACAGAGGTACCAGTTCCCCAGAGGTACAACCGCTTGGACAAAGGAGCAGATCTACGACATGATCAGGAAGGAGGACGTGCTCGAGATCGGAAAGAGCTCCGTCACGCCAGTCACTGCGAGCGCGGCGGGAGAGGAGACCATGGACACGTCGTAAGCTTGTGCTCTGTTGTCGGTGCAATATTACATGTCATCCCAGAGCTGGACTCGTGTGCCCAAAGTGGTCTGCGATTCTGAACTTTCACTCTTCCCGCTGAAATCACGCACTCGATACACACACACACATCATTGACGCTTTGCACGACTTCATTTTTAGGGATGTTTCGCACACCTGCTCCCTTCTAAAGATCATCAACAACCACGCTCCACTCGTGCTCCACCTTGCCCAGCTGAATATTGGTGATCCTCTCCAACATAGCCTTTGCGATGGGTCCGATGCCATCTCCCGCCGGGATGTGGATATCCTTACCCTTGTAACCCACTCTGTCCACGGGGCTGACAACGGCAGCGGTACCTGCGCCGAACATTTCGATCAGTGCGCCCGACTTCTCGGCCTCGATGACTTCGTGGATGCTGATCTCCCTCTCGTTGACCTCCAAGTCCTTGGGTAGACTGTCCAATGCGTACTTGCCGCTGACGTGATCCTTCGCAATGTGCAAGATGGAATCCCTCGTGACACCAGGTAGGATCATACCGTTGAGAGGAGGCGTGACGAGCTCGACTCCACCGTCCTTCTTCTTGAGTGCTACGAAGAGGTTCATAGTTCCCACTTCGGTCAACAGGTGTTGATCGCCGAACAACCACAGGTTTTGCTGGTATCCTCGTTCAGCCGCTTCCAACTGAGGCAGAATACCGGGAGCGTAGTTACCGCCGAGCTTGTATTGTCCTGTTCCGCCTGGCCACGCTCGGACCTTGTTGGGATCCGCTTCAAGGGCGACTGGTTTGAAACCGGTCTTGTAGTATGGTCCTACGGGCGAGCAGATGACGAACAGCAGGGCGTCTTTGGTAGGATGAACGCCCAACGCTGCTTCAGTGCCGATGAGCGCAGGTCGGATGTAGAGCGAATGACCCGGTTCGGAAGGGATCCAGCCCTTATCCATAGCAACGAGCTTCTTGATCAACGAGATGAGTTGTTCGCCTTCGAAAGTAGGCAGTGCGATACGTGCGGCCGAAGTGTTCATGCGCTTCATGTTCATATCCGGTCTGAACAGCCGCACTTTTCCATTGACATCCTTGTACGCCTTCATGCCTTCGAACAGCGAAGGAGCGTAGTGGAAGATGACGGCGCTAGGGTCGAGCTGGAGCGGAGAGTAAGGGTGAATCTTGGGAGCATCCCAACCGGTGGCGCTGTTCCAAGGAATGGACAGCATGTGATCGGAAAAGTTGGCGCCAAAGACGAGCGACTGGGAAGGTGGTGGTACACGAGGAGCGTTAGATTTGGTGACAACGACAGCGGACGAGTCGAGGTGCTTGAGACCTGTTGCCTCCCCCGTCATGGGATCGTGGGAGACGGTGGTGGACTGGAATCGGAGAGACGAGGCAGCGGCATGGCGGCGAAGCAGAGAGCTTGCTGGGGCGGATGCTGCGCGTGCGCGAAGAGCTGTTCTCGCCAGATTCAGCATTGTAACGAGCAATAGGATCGAGAGATGGTGGAGATTGGAAGGTGGAAAGGCGGACATGACACGGACCAGGAGGTCGTCGTCTCGTTCTTGCTCGCTCGCTTGCTCGCTGCGTCGCTGTGTGCTGCGCTGTGCTGCACAGTTGGCTAATTTCCAGCGCTGCAATTGTGAGAGTGTCTCATGACTCGGTTGTGCCTGTGAACGGCTATTTGTGTCTCGATTTTTCGGGTATTTGCTCGGCGCTAACAGCGAGTGACAACCCTGCCGGCCGAGTCGAAGAAACGCGTCCAAACCAAGCGCAGCAACAATCAATCATCTCGAACCACATCTCAAGCAAGTCTATCCCAGATGCCTTGCTTGCTTCCATCATCATCAACTTACACCGCTTGCTGATCCGGCTCTTGTTCATTCATAGTCGATACCTTCGCTCTTGCGCAACCTCGCTCGAAACTCCTCCGGCTGCCTCGCAAAGAATCGACGGACAACCTCGGCACTAGCCGGATCACAGCATCCCCTTCTCAGCTTGAACTCCTCCCTCACGCTCGGATCTTCCCCACGAAGACCGCAAGCTGAGAGCATTGGTCGTCATCGGTCCCTATAATCTGCACTTCTTCCTCAAGGTCGTGTCTATACCAGACAGCCAAGTAGCATCGGTGCTTTCCGCTGATCCCTCACCCGCCCTCGACCTTCCAGTACGCATCTCATCCTCCATCCGGCATCTCCATCTCCACCACTTCCAACATCCAACTTTGCACCTCTTCGCACCATGTCGTCCCTCCACTTTTGCGCAGAATGCAATAACCTCCTCTACCCCGAAGTCGATCGAACCAACCACGTCCTCCTCTACGCATGTCGCAACTGCAACTACCAGCAGGAATCACGAGAATCGCTCGTCTACCGCAACGATCTCATGTCCGTCACAAAGGAACAACCGGGTATCGTCGATAACCTCATGAAGGATCCCACACTCAGGAGAACGCACGACTTGAACTGTCCCAATTGCGGTCACGGAGAAGCGGTCCTCTTCCAGGATCAGAGCAAGAGAATCATGAACAGGATGATCTTGTTCTACGTTTGCTGCAGATGCAACCATCTTTTCAGAGATCCGACTCAACCGGCACCGAGAGAAGGTCCCGGTCAGATCTGGAATGATAGGAAGAAGAAGTAAAAAGCGGCAAGAATCTCGTCGCAAACATTCACAAATCACTCGGCCCTGTGTAAACTCACTCTTCGGCTACTCCTTTTGGAGAGCCTCTCATGTACTTGTACCAATACCAAAAACAACATCAAGCCCCCTCTCCCGTGCATCAGTACGATCATGATCTGGCATCTACTCTGTCATCATTACGCTCGTTCAGCTGCGACCCCGACTCGGACCATCACTTATACTTGTCCTTATGAATCCAGCTCAACCCAACCGTATCATACCCACCTTCCTCGGCCATCCTGTAGTACATCGCTGCCTTCTTCAGATCCTTCTTGCATCCTTTGCCCGCAGCATACAGAGCACCCGCTTCTGCCTGCGCATCCGCGTCGCCCAGCTTTGCCGCCAACTCAAAGTACTCCAGTGCCATGTGCTTGTCCATCTTGACGCCCCAGCCGTAGCAGAAGCACTTGCCGAGCTCGTACACGCTGAGTTTGAGTTCGCTCTTGATGGCCTTGAGTTCGGAGTCGGTCTTAGGTGTGCGGGTGGACATCATCTCGCCTGCGCGAGCCGCGGCACGTTGGATCCAGGTGAAACCTTTCACCGGGTCCTTTCGTGCTCCCCAACCTTCGCGGAGGGCCATACCGAACATGCACATGCCCACGACGCAGCCGCCGTCGACTTTGGCGGATCGTTCAAAGTAGAACGCGGAACGTGCGAGGTCGCCTTGTTCGTGATAGGTGATGCCTTGAGAGAGGAAGTCTTCGGCCGAGGTGGGACCGGTGCGGGTGTCGACGGCGGGTGAGGATCGTGGTTTGGCAGGAGCTGCGAGGTTGGGAGTATTCAGTCCAGCGGTGCTTAAGCTGAAAGATGGTGCTGAGGCCGTGGGTTGCATGTCGACGGATCCTGGCAGGCCGTTGGGTGGGATCGCGTTGGTCGACTTGACATTACGCAGCGCGGGTCTGGCCGTCTGACTCGCATAGTCGAACACAGAATCTTGCACGGGCTGCAACGATCGAGACAGGTCCTGCGAAACGTTGTTCTGAGCTAAAGACTTTGGCGCGTTGCTCTGCTGAAAAGCAGAAGAAGGAGCCCGCCATCCTGCAGCAGACTGGAGCATGGCAGGGTCGTGACTGACGCTGCCGATCGACATGCGCGAGGTCATGATACTCGCAATGGTGCTGCTGCTGTCACGTCGACTGCTGCCGTCGAGTCGGAGCGTCTCAACGTCGAGATCGGAAACCATACTTTCCCTGCCGTCAGCACGCGCGATGGCTTCGGCGCGCTTCCTACCCATGATTGGTCGATCGACACCCTGGAAGAACTGATTTGGGTCTGAGTATCCTTGTGGACTGCGTTGTTCGCTGCTTGATGCTGACGCTGGGGGTGGGGGAGGCGGAACTCGTCCAGCGGGATGCCCCGAAGATCGAAGCCGATGTTGTCTTTGGCTATCTGCGGAAGCGCGTCTAGGATTGGCTAAAATGCTAGATGGAGCCAGCGGAGCGCGCGGACGCTGAGGCGATGCGGCCATGGTCTCGACTTGTGCCGAAGTGGGAGAAGGCATCGAGCCGTAGCGGTACTGTGAGTGCTCTGCGGCTGCGCCGGTCGATCGCGAAGCTTCCGAGCCAGATGGACTCGGTGGGTAGACGTAGACGCGTGCAGTCGGCGGACTATCCTTGCCTGCCCGCTGGCTGTCGCCAGTGATGGTGGCGTTCGATGAGGTGGACCGATGGCCAAGGTAGCGATCTGCAGAGGCCATCGGTGTGCGGTCGTACAGCTGTGTGGGATCCGGTCGGACATCGTACTCTTGCGTCTCGATTCGTGGGACAAAGCTGTGTCGAGCATCGGCTTGCATATGCGAGAGGGAGGGCTGTTGCAGCCTCGAAGAAGCTGTAGGCGGCGGGACCGATCTGGTGAGGCTAACCACCTGTTCCTTGCTGGCAACCTGACGAATGGCGGGCATCGAGGAGCCAACGGAAGCATTGTTGCTTGAGCCTCGTGAAGTATTGTCGAACGCATGCTCGCGCTTCCACCGTTGAGCTACCGAGTCGAGCCCCCCTCCTGTCAGCAGCGGACCTTGGTTTGGATTGAGATCAATGCTGCCGTTGATAGAAGCGACATCGCGTTCGTTGTCCAAGTCAGGGTCGAGATCGTCTCCGTATGCACTCTCCTCGTAGGCGCTTTCCTCATCATCGGCTCGTGACGCCCAGGCACGGCCCCAACGGCCATCTTCGCCGAACTCTGAGCTGCGAACAGTATCTATTGATGCCCTGCGCGATAGCGACGCGTCGTCGCCCGTGATAGAATTGAAGGAAATGTCCGAACTGATCGAATTGCGGAAGGCGTCACCAAGCAGATGTGACAGATGTGAGGAGTTTCGCTGCCAAACTGTCTCTGGCTGCGTCGGTGTGTAGGAGTCGTTAGCATCATCGTAGGATGCCTTGTAGCCTCGTTGTACGGAAAAGGAAGAGCTCGGGTCGGGCGAGAATGCCGCGGATGATGAAGGAGAGGAACGGCGCTGCGTGCGGGAGAAGCTAGAATCTGGCTCGGACAATAGATTGACGCTGCGAATGCTTTGTGCGTCGTCGAAGTCGTCTGGATCGGGCGATGGCTGTATTGGGGGCTTGCGTACCGAGGTTTTTCGTGAAAGGGCGGATGCGCGCTCGAGGATGCGATTGCTGTTCGAAGTTGTTGCCGAGTGATCATCAGGTGTCAAGATCTCATGCTGCACCTGCATACCTCGCTTGACGAGAAGTTCTAGAGGGGAGAGACCCGAGGAGGGACCAGCGCTGGGGTCAGGTGAAGGAGGTGGGTGCTGTCTCGGCAGCTTGCTCCAGTCGGAAGTATCTGAACTAGAGGCGCCGCGATCGGAGAGGGATGGGCTGGTAGACGGTGTGTGCGAACCTAGATCGTGCGCCGAGACGGCCGAGGACGAAGAGCCGTTGGATGAGGCGTACGAGCCCGCCGAGAAGGAGCGCGCGGCCGAGCTGGTATGCGGAAGTGGCTGGAGACGCTGCATGTCTGAAGGAAGATGGTGGTTCAAGGTGGTGTAGGGTGGGGGATGGTTGATGTTGTGCGGCGCACAAGAGGCAATCAGGGCAGTGCTTAGCAGAAAGGCTGTTTGCGCACACTCATCGACGCCGTATGCTGGTCGGAATGCCCGTTGGGAACGTTGTGTGATGGAATGAATCTATCGCAAGGGGCCCGATCGATCGTGTCGCTGTGACGGTGGGAAGGAAGGGGCGAGCAGGGACGCCTGTCACAAGTCCATTTGGTCGAAAGCTTACAGTGTTCTCCTACGTGCGTGTCTTGGGATGTGCAAGCATCCGCCGTGGAACAGCGTAAGAACGCGCGGATCCGGTTGATGAAAGGAGGGAGGGTCGTCCAGCAACTATGGGCGTTCGTGTGGTTGTCGAAATGAAATAGGACACGCACACGATCTTGCTCCCACACACGCACTTGTCACTCGCGAGAGACACATCTTTAATTTTTAAGACCCTGGCTGCCACTTTCTCTGTTTAATGCAAGCGTCTCCGGTGCAGGCGCGCAAAGAGTGCGAGAATCCATTAGGCGCGGCGCCGTGGTTGTCGCAGTTGCGCTGTCAACTTTCTTTCCCGACTGTCGATCATGTTTTGCTACTCATCCGCCTGATACATGTGTGCGCTTTTCCGTGTTGTTTGTGCTTTGCTCGTGTCGTCTGCTTTTCTCCTCTGAACCTTATTTTTCTGTCTTCGGTTGCAAGCAATGATTTTGTTGGATGGAGAAGCGCCTCGTGTGGACCCTGCGCTTTCGCAGCCGCCGAGGCTCAAAAAGAAAGAGGCTTGCGTGGAAGCCACCATAAGAAAGAAACGGACCGCCGTCCCCACAAAGACAAGCCATGCTCAGAGAATCAGCCGCTGCAGCTACTAGAGTCGCGCTGCCTGGACAAACCAAGTCGAGTACTGAACTATTTGCAAAACGAGATGCTGTGAGCTTTTTGCTTTTGACACCTCTTGTTATTATTATAATAGGACCGTTCTGGGTACCCGTATTTCCTAGCCTGTGTAAGTTGCACGAATTGCGAGGCCGTTCGAGATCGAATACTTCCATGAGAGAAATCGTGCCTGAGCTTGAGAGTACCGGGCACTGCCTTAGACCAATTGCACAGTACAAACCAACTCCTTGGCAACTCCTTGGCGCAGGGAAAGTTGCGAAACCCGCCAGCCAAAGTCAAAAGCAAGAGCTCGACGTCAAGGGCCAAGCTAGACAACGACGGCGGCGGAATAACAAATTCGCACACTTGTTTGGACCCTGAATGATATCCGTGCAAGAATTCGAGCATGACCTAAGCGCTTCCGGACTGCTCGCCATCTCTGCTGTCGCCTCTCATCCACACGCAGCACACAATCATCATCTCTACCTAGCCCTTGACCGATGTGTCTAGAAAGACGTCTACCATGATCTCGGTCTGAGCGCTCGCAGCCCAGCCTCGCCTCGCCGCAAACATGGCCACAACCGGACAAGCATCCGGCACCCAGGAGGAGCCTCTTCGAGCTATGTCGATCGCCAGATTCATCCCCCGCTTTCCTAAGCCACTACTTGTGACCTCAAACATTCCCGTCTATCGTCACTCTTTCTCACTTCCAATCAGGCAAAGCGAAGAGCCATCCTCGTCGCCCGCCACTTCTGAAGGAGTCGCAGACTCTGACCCGCGATCTGCAGCGACGGACAGCGCCTCGTATGTCGAGTGGAGCAAGCTGCTTCCCGTACCATCCAATTTGCTCGGCTCCGTCCGAGAGCTGTTTGAGACTCGTTTGCCGAGGGATGCAGAGTCCAACGCCGCCTTCGAGGTCGAGCAAAAGGCAGACGACGAAGCTTCTCCCCCTCTATCGGCTTCTCCGCCCCCGCGGCTCGTCTTCTTCGGAGAGCAACATCATCAGCCCGAAGTGATGCGAGCGCAGTTACAGATTCTGCACGCACTTCACCAGCAATATCAGCTTGCTTCACAGCCTTTCGGCAAGCATGCGAGCGCTCCACCAATATACAAGCTTCATCTCATCCTCGAGCATTTCTCCGTGCTCGATCAGCATATGCTCAATTCTTTCTCTAACGATCGCCTTGGTCCCGACGAGCTGGCCGAAAAATACCACACGCACAGTCAAGAAGCATTCCATATTGGCCACTACATGCCGCTGCTCATGCTAGCCAAAGAACTGCGCGTCCCCATTTGGGGCGGATTCCCTCCGAGGAGCTGGGCCAGACAGGTCTTTCGTGACGGTGTCGAATCTGTCAAGACCGACGAACGACGACGAGCGGATCCCATCGAAGAAAGCCACTATGAATTGTCGACAGCTGACAACCCATCACAGCCAGCGTCGGAGTTGCAGCCGTCGAGCTCTTCTCCGTCTGCAGTACCGAGATCACCTTTGTTCACATCGTGGGGTGCCGTGACCAAGATCGGCGCAGCTCACCGCAGCTACCTCTCCGCCCTTATGCGGCCCGACATGCCGCCTCGCTTCCCCAAGCTACCGACTGCCGCTTCATCGGGGGACGAAGTGCAAGGCGTGCAAAACGAAGAAGCGTCTACGACTGACGCATCGATATACCCAACTTGGCTCCTGAAGCCACACAACATCGAAACCAAAGGCTTTGGTCCGGCTCAGGCGCTCAAAGACTCTTATTTGGCCCACGTCACCTCTTGGATCTTGCGAGGAGCACACACGGATGATCCGATCCCAGCACATTCGACGAAGCAGTCTACACGTACGCAGCCTGCGATGACCAGATCTCTCTCAGCAGACCCAGCAGCAGATGCTGACGACTCTGGCAGACCGATTATCAACGTCGCCCTAGTCGTGTGTGGTCTTGGCCACTGCGAATATGGTTTCGGCGCACCGGAACGAGTCGTGGAGCTTCTATCTGGGCACAGCGAAGGATCATCACATGGTGATCTCTCCTCATTGCTTCCATACATCATAGCAAGCAAGCCTCTAGACTCCGGCATCTGGCTTGGCTCCGAGCACCCTTCACAACCTTCCGCTGACAACGACAATGTCAACGCGAAAGATGAATCGCCCGCTGCAGTCCAGAGATGGCTCGACGATCCGTGGGGGCGCAAGTTGGCCGACGCCATTGTATTGTACGAGTGGATCGACAATGAGCCTGCCGAAGAGAGCGATGGTAATGCGGATGGAGGAGACCACCCGACGTCAGGCTAGCGATTTTCTCAGAAGGGTCATACGACAGCCTCGAATCGACACTGTTCAGTACCAAGCCTCGCAAACACATGGCTCATCTTTGTGGCCACATTCGCGCGCAGTTCCAACTGGCTGGCTTGAACGCAAAGCAAGGGGAAGGGAGACGGCTTACGGATTGACTCTGATCCACGGGTATATGGCACATCTATATCTAAGAAAGCAGGGGACCAGTTGCGAGCGACAATGCGATCACGGTGATTAGCACGGAAAGGAGCAACACCGCGATGTCTGCAGCGGCATCTCGTCGAAGCGACAAGGTGGCAGCAGCAGCGTTAGACGAGCGTAAGCCCTTGGACAGGACGTTGCTCGTGTTTGGAGGTACAGCGCCATTGGCACCCAAGGTATCGTAGTATGCCGGACAGCTTGCATCTGCACCGCTGGGTGGAGGATTGTTCGGACAGCAAGCCGATGACTCTTGAGCCCAATCCGATCCCAGAGCGGCTCTGTCGTTCCACCCGGCCCATTTCTGACACGAGACAGCAGCATAGCTGACGTTCCAGACGCCGTAATCGTGATCGCCCGGGAAGAAGTTTTTGGATATGCCCTTCGATGGCCAAGCGAGATCAAAGTGAACGTCGAAACCGAGTCTGTTGCCTGCCACTGTTCCGTTGTCCAAGCGCGTGGAGTTGCACCAAGGACCACCTGCACCGGGGCATAGATCGATGACCTTGACCACCAAACTAGGTGTTGAGCCGGAGCTGACCTGCGAGGCGTTGAAGTAAATGCCGTCGCCGTACGGGCCGTTCGAGTCTGGTGGAGGTGGAGGGGCAGCCAGCGGCGTTGAAACGAGTCGCACCTCAAAGCATGTTCCACAGGCAGGGCCGAACGAGGTGTTGGAGCCGTAAGCATAGCGATTGAGAGCAGCTGTGGGATAGAAGGTGGAGCGTCCAACGCAGCCGCAGGAAGCTACGTAGTCGAGCGGCAAATCGTAGTGCGTCAAGGAGGCATAGCCTGAGGCGGTAAAGTCGACCGCAGCGAGAGCCGCCCGGGTCCAGACGAGGAGGAGGAGCGAGAATAGCGCCCACATCGGTGTGGGAGTCTATGGCGATTGAAGCGTCGTCTATGGAGAAGCGTTCATCGTGTCATGGTGAGAGTGATGGCCACCACAGTTCAGGGGTTGCGATCGTGACTGGAGGAGCGTCAGGAGGGACGTGGGATTGAAGAAGCAGAGTAACACATGTTGATCAACCGAAGAACCCTCGGCTTGCTCGAGACCCTCCCATTCCGCAGACTTGGACAAGCATCAGCCGAAAGCTTTGTGTGGCATGTCGGCTGTGCCTGCGCGAGAGCGAGCTTATCCGACTTGAGCCTTCGCGGAGAACCGACACCGATTTTGCTGAATCTGTGCAGATCTCGTGAATGTAACACTGAGAAGCCCCGATCACCAATTCAAAAGACCCACAGCTTGCTCTTGCTTCGCAAGATTTTTGTATTGATTTCGACTTTGCCTTTGGAAAGAATGATTTCACTTTTTCGACCAAAAGTGAAGCTGTACCGTGTGTGTGTGCCTTTTCCGCAAGGCATTCCTTTCAGCCAATTGCGGCGCCTGCTGAGCAGGATACTTCGGTTCCACACCGAAGAATCTGTCACCCACTCAGCCTTGACTGGGCCGCAATTCTGAGCCGGCTCGAGTGGAAGCGTCAATCCAATCCAATCGTGACATCGACCAACAGCTAGCTGCTCCCAGAGCTTTGTCCGCCTTCATCGCCAACCAACACTTTCTCCGACCTTCACCTCATCCAATCCCTTCGCCGCCTGCCTTCCCCTCTGCGATCCTGCTATCGTGGCCGACCATACCGCTCGCTGCACAGACACGGCGCTTGGCTGCTTTCGACTTGGATCTCCAGCAGGAATACTTTCTCAGGCTGAAATAGTGATCGAACCCCCACGGAAGCTCTGCACGCCCATCTTGGCAACACATCTTCAGCGCAACGCCTGTCACAGCTACTTCACGTCGACGTTACGCCTCTCATACGATCCGGCTCCATTTTTGCGTCTTGCTCAGCACGTTCGCTCGCACTCATCGGTCCGTCTCGCTTACCCGTGCACTGACTGCACTCGCAGACAAGTCTCAGCAGATCTGTACTGGCAAACACCATCGCGCCTACGCCAAGAGCCTAGACCGTTATTTCGTCGACGTCAACGGTCCGACGCAACCACTAAACCTGCAGGATCGTGCTTCCTTTGATCGTCCACCGACTCAGCGACTGCCGCCTCATCGCATCTTGGCTCTGCCACTTGAAATCATCATTTGCGCTGCTCTCTCATCGCCAGCTCATCCATCTCCTTCCATTCTTGATCCTCGCTCGCCTTCACCGCTTCTGGTAGCGCTGAGCAGAAAGGGCCGTGGGACGACACGGCCAACATGTTTAATGGCTCCGCTCCTCCCAACGGAGGAGGCGCCGACGCCAATGGTCTAGCCGCCAGTCAAGGCATCGTCAAATCCGTCTTGGATGCGCTCCAACGCGACGGTCCACAGCCCGTCGTCAGCCTCGATCAGCATGCGCTCCTCCTCGAGACGCTCCTCTCCGACGCATTGCCCAGCACTCCAGTCCTCCATCCCGCTCAGCGTCAGAAGCTCTTCAACGCCATTGCAGACAAAGTGGGTCCCGAAGCAACCGCAGACGCAGTTCGTCATGCGCTTCCCAAACTCAAGATCAAGCCCGAAAAGAATGTCGCCGACCTTCTCATTGAGCTCGGGGTTCGCAGCCTCCCCACCGTCGATGCAGCTCGTGCCGTCCTCCAGCGCTTCGGCTTGACCGAGGCAAATCCACCCGACGAGCGCATGCTTTCCGAGATCCTCGCCATCCTGCTCTCCGTCGACCCCGCCATCTTCGAGAGCGATCGCGTCACCAATTTTGCCAACCTCGCCCGTGCTTTCGCAGCCATCAAGCAGCAACTCTCTTGGCCTCGCGTCATCCGTGGTCTCGATGAGCTCGATGGCTTCAACCCTTCCTTCCACGGTCACATGGCCGGCATGGCCGACTTGCTTCTTCACGCTCCTGTCCAGGGTCAGACCTCGGCCGTCTCCGGCTTGTGGGGCCCATGGCACCATCGTCTGCGACAGCTCCAGATCTTCCACGGTCTTCTCGCTCTCGGCTCGGACGCCTTCAGCTTTGCTAACCTACCCGGTCGACGCGTCCTGACGGCAGAGCAGCTCGAAAACGCACCCAACAGCGGTATCGTCGCCGCCGCCCAACCTCTCTTCAGCAGCGCCTACAATTCGCTCGACCTCGTCGAGACGCTCATCGAGATCTCCGCCTCGGATGATCAGAACGTCAGGTCCGCCGTTCAGGAAGTGCTCGAGCAGGCCATCAAGGCTTGTCCCGAGCTCATCTTGCTCGGACTCGTCCAAATCCCCCAACCTTGGAACGCCATCCACGCAGAGCTCGCTTCTCAGCTGCTTACCATGTTCATGACCCCGCACAACAGCAGCCTCCTCGTCTTTTACTGCATCTTGGACACGCAGCGCGACTATCTGCTCAACGCCTTCCGCAACTTTTACCTCGAAAATCAGCTCAACCTCAACCGCATCGTCGACATTGCTCAGAGTCTCGGCATCGTTGACGATCTCGTCGATGCTCGTCCATTTGCATTTGCCCTTGACGTCGCAGCGCTGGCTTCCCGTCGCGAAGCTATCGACCTCGACGCTTGGCTTCAGGACAACATTAGCCGTCATTCCAGCGACTTCATTCGCGCCGTTCTCGAGTTCCTCGACGTCAAGGCCAAGGACGACCTCGCCAAGCCCGATCCGCAGGCTGAGCAGAGCTTCGTCCCGCTCACCGTTCAGAACGTCGCCAGCTTCCTCAAGGCGTTGCGCTCCAATGGCGAGAGCATGAGCGCCGAAGAAATCGACTTCTTCAAAGGCGTTCGCAATGTCTGCCTTCAGCTTCACCCGCGTCTCATGAACCTGGCTCCCGGTGCTGAAGGCCAAGAGCCCGGCTTGCAGGTCGTCACCTTCTCCCAAGACATTCACGAGGAGGCCGATTCGTGGTATCGTCAGATGTACGAAGGCAAGATCAGCATCGAGGACATTGTGCTCTTGCTCCAGCGCACCCGTGCTTCGGACAACCCTCGCGACCATCAGATCTTTGCGTGCATGGTGCACACCCTCTTCGACGAGTACCGCTGGTTCGAGATGTACTATCCCGCCGCCGAGCTCGAGATGACCGCTGTTGTGTTTGGCTCCCTCATCCAGTACCAACTCATCGACTACATCCCGCTCGGCATCGCGATCCGCTACGTCCTGGACGCCCTTCGCAACCCACCAGACTCGAGCATGTTCAAGTTCGGTCTTCAAGCCCTCTTGCGCTTCCAGAATCGTCTGCCCGAGTGGCCACAGCTCTGCCAGGCGCTTCTGTCCATGCCGCATCTCCAGCAATCCTACCCCAACATCATCCGCCTCGTCAAGATGGCTCTCGCCGGTCAGCTGCCTGGCGCCGACGTTGGCATGCCCGGAGGCCAGCCGCTCGAGGATAAGAAGGCGCCCTTCCCTGCCATCAGGGCCGACCCCTTGCCTCAGGATGGAGAGCAGCGCGATCCCAGCGAGGAGATCACTGATAAGGTGCTCTTCCTCGTCAACAACCTCTCGCCCACCAATCTCGAGTCCAAGCTGGGCGATGCCAAGCGACTGATCACCGCCGACACCTATCGGTGGTTCTCCAACTACCTCGTCCTGCAGCGAATTAGCATCGAGCCCAACAACCACGGTCTATATGCTCAGTTCCTCGACGGCTTGGATGCCAAGGGTCTGACAGCCTACATCCTGCACGAGACGCTCTCCAAGTGTCAGATGCTGCTCAACAGCGACAAAACGCTCCAGTCGACGCAGGAGCGCAACCTGCTCAAGAACTTGGGCTCTTGGCTTGGAAGCCTCACCTTGGCCCGCGACAAGCCAATTCGTCACCGCAACATCGCCTTCAAAGAGCTTCTCATCCAAGGCTACGACAGCAACCGACTCATTGTGGCCATTCCCTTTGTCTGCAAGATTATGGAGCAATGCGCCAAGTCGAACGTGTTCAAACCTCCCAACCCTTGGCTCATGGCGGTCCTACGCCTCATGGTGGAGCTCTACCAGTTTGCAGAGCTCAAGCTGAATCTCAAATTCGAGATCGAGGTCCTTTTCAAGGGGCTCAACGTCGAACTGAAAGACGTGCCGCCCACGACGATCCTCCGCAACCGACCCTCCGCCGAGCTGCTGCAACAGCAACAACAGCAGCAACAACAACAGCAGCAGCAACAGCAGCAGCTGTCTGCGGGTCAGTTCCAGCATCTCAGCCAACAACAGCAGCAACAGGCCGCTGCACAGATGCAAATCCAACAGCAGCGCCAGCATCAGCAGCAGCTCTCTCAGCAGCCAGCTACCGGCATCGCCCAGGACCTCGAGCGGCTTTCGATTGCTGGCGGATACAGTGCAGCTGCCGCTGGCCGCATGGGTCCGCAGTCGCAAAAGGCCAGCGCTGCCGCTGCAGCTGTCGCTGCAGCAGGCTCGGGCGCTCAGCCTGGTCAGTCGGCTGCTGCCGCCGCGGCGTACACCGAAGCACTCGTGTCGATGCTCCAGAGCCTGCCGCAATACGTCGTGATCAACCCCCAGCTCACCATGTTCAGCAGCAATGCAGCGCTCAAGCGACTCATCTACGTCGCCATCGACCGTGCCATCCGCGAGATCATCGCACCGGTCGTCGAACGATCCGTAACGATCGCGTCCATCTCGACGCGCGAGCTCGTGACCAAGGACTTCGCTATGGAGGGAGACGAGGAGAAGATGCGCATTTCGGCGCACCAGATGGCGCAGAACCTCGCCGGCAGTCTCGCCCTCGTAACTTGCAAGGAGCCGCTACGCATCAGCATGATCGCCAACGCCCGTACCCTACTCCTTTCCAACGGCTTCACCGAGCAGAACGTGCCCGAACAGGCCTTGATGGTCATCATGCAGGAGAATCTCGACCTCGCCTGCTCTGTCATCGAGAAGGCAGCTATGGATAAGGCGGTTCCCGAAGTCGACGAGGGCCTCACCAACGCCTATTCGAGCCGTCGCGAGCATCGTACGCGAGGGCGTGGCTACTACTGGGACAGCGCTGCATTGGCCGCTTCGCAGTACGCCGCCACGTTACCCGACATGCTGCGATTGCGGCCCGACGGTCTCGTTCCAGCCCAGTTGCGCGTCTACGACGGCTTCAGCCGCCGCATGTCGCCCGACGTCGACGGTGACCGTGGCACACCGACCTCGGTGCACGCCTCGTCCGTCTCCGGACCCTCTGAAGCTGGCTATCCCGACAGCGCCACGGCCGGTGCTGGTACTGTGAGCGCTGCCGCGCTCCAGGAGGCAGGTGCCCGCGCCAGTGTTCCCGCTGGCGTGTTCCCCAACGCTGCTGGTGGCACGATGAGCGCCCAGCAGTCGCTCGAAAAGTTCTCTCAGGGCTTGGCCGAGTTGGAACGATGGCTCGAAGCAGCTGATCAGGATGCAGGTCTCAGCGAGCTGCCGCAGGATCACGAAATTCGGCATGCACTCCGCCTCATCCCGATGATCGCTGCCCAGTCCGCAAGCCGTGACGAGACTGCCCTCGCCTTCTCGCAGAAAATCGTGCAGCTGTTGTTCAAGATCGAGTCCAAGCTTGGTCGAGAGGTCTACGTTGTGCTCCTCGACCGACTGTGCGAAATTTCGCTCAAAGCGGCCCGCGAGGTGACGGCTTGGCTCATCTACGCCGAAGACGAGCGCAAATTCAACGTTCCCGTCACCGTGTCGCTCTTGCGGGCGGGGCTGGTCAATGTGGCCGAACTCGACGTCCAGCTCGCCAAGCTCATCATCCGCGACCTGCGACCCAGCGTCATCGAGTTTTCGGCGCAGCTTGCGCTCGAGTGCCTTCAGGAGCCCGCCTGCGCCACTCGTCAGCAACTCACCAACACGATCGAGGCGATGCAGCGAGCTGAGCAGCAGGGTAAGGCCACGGATGCTTCCAAGCGCTTCCTGAACGATCTCGAGAGCGGCCTACTCAAGAGCAAGGTGGATGTCGGCAACACAGCGCTGCGCGAGCAGCTCGCCTACTGCTTTGCTGAATGGGCACGTCTTTTCCAGCACTCGCCGAACCCGGAAAAGTCGTTCATCGACTACGTCACACAGCTTCAAACGCAAGGCATCCTCAAGGGCGAGGACATCTCGTCCATGTTCTTCCGCGTCTGCACCGAGGTCAGCGTAGATAGCTACATCAAGCAGAAGGCGGCGGGCGGCTCTGCTGCCACGGGCATCTTCTCGCCCATTGACGCCTTTTCGCGTCTGATCGTCCTCATGATCAAGTACCACGCCGATCCCACGGGCGCCAACAACGAGCAAGCCAAGGTACACTACCTGACCAAGATCTTGTCGATCGTCGTGCTGGTTCTCGCCCAGTCGCACGAAGAGCTCGGAGTTCACTTCCAGCAGAAGCCCTTCTTCCGACTGTTCTCGAGCCTGCTCCACGACCTGCATGCGACCGAATCGAGCCTGGGCGCTGCCTACACGCAGACGCTGCTGGCCATCAGCAACACGCTCAACACGCTGCAGCCTTCGTTCTTCCCTGGTTTCACCTTCTCGTGGATGTCGTTGGTGTCGCACCGCCTATTTATGCCCAAGCTTCTCGAGGCCAACCAGCGTGAAGGCTGGGGTGCGTTCCACCGGCTGTTTGCGTCGCTGCTGCGCTTCATGTCGCCATTGCTGCGCAACGCCGAGCTACAGGACACTTCGCGCCAGCTTTACCGCGGAACGCTGCGTATCCTGCTGATCCTGCTGCACGACTTCCCCGAGTTCCTGTGCGACTATCACCAGAGCTTGTGCGACCTGGTGCCTGCTTCGTGCATCCAGCTCCGCAACTTGATCCTCAGTGCCTTCCCGCGCAGCATTCGCTTGCCGGATCCTTTCAGCTCAAGCTTGCAGATCAGCATGCTGCCCGAGATGAGCCAGGCACCGCACATTGCGTCGGACTACGCCGCGGCTCTCAACCAGATCGAAGGACTGCGTGCGGCCATCGATTCTCACTTCGAGGAAGCCAGAGGAGGCGATTTGTCCGAACAGCTTGTAACTCTGCTTCAGCAGGCGACGCGCGCAACGTTGTCCATCAACCACAGCTCAAGCAAGGACGATTCGACGAGCGTCGCTTCGATCGCTCTGCTGTCGCCAGGCGGCATCAACGTCGGCATCATCAATTCGATCGTGCTGTACGTCGGTGTACGATCCATCGAGGCGGGCTGCAACAACGGTGGTGACCAGAGCGGCGCTGCCATCCTTCGATGGCTCGTGGTCGAATCGGCACCCGAAGCACGCTTCGTGATCCTCACTGCGGCGGCCAACCAGCTGCGATTCCCGTCGAGCCACACGGCTTACTTCTCGGCTGCGCTGACGCAGCTGTTCGCCGAGAGCGAGGACGATCTGGTGCGCGAGCAGATCGTGCGCGTGCTGCTCGAACGCCTTGTCATCCATCGACCTCACCCTTGGGGACTGGTCGCGACGTTCATCGAGCTGATGAAGACGCAACGTCATCGCATGCCGCGGGCACCGGCCGAGATTCAGGCGTTGCTGGACCACATTGCAGCCACGCTCGCAGCACCCGTCAACGACGACGGTCACGCTCACTCGCAGCAGCACCAGCATGCGCACCTCAACGGCCACTCTGCGTTCTTGCCGCAGCAGATGATGCAGCAGCAACAGCATCAGCAGGCTTGATGTCGATCACGACCGCTCGTTCTCCCTCCACATTACGCATTAAAAGTGTTTCACCGGATCCTACCGAATCAATCGCTCGTTATCAACCATGTACCACTATCATCATCGTTTCGTTCTCGTCTAACAATGTTTTATTTGACTTCTGATCCTTTCTTGACGGTGCTAAGCGTTCTCATAGTGATGAGGAGGTGTTGCTTGTGCGTGTGGTTTATTATGAGTTGTCTAGCCGTGGGTCGAAGGCGGGTATTCACAAGACTGATGAAAGTGTGCAGGTGCAGAAGATTGTGATATGCAGATTTAGGAGTAAGCCCGTCGCCGGTGGCGTGACGCATGGTGAAAGGTGTAGGGAGCCCCTTTCTTCTCCATTAGCGGCTGTGGTTGATGCCTTTGTACATGCACCAGAAAAGGAAGATGCAGCTCGGCACGTCACATGTTGCATGTTGCAGCTACGCCCACCCTTTCTTTTGCGCCCTGACCGCGACCGCTCTTCGTGTTGCCTCGAAACGTATCGAGCTATTGTCTTGCCTCTGTCCCACAATGCTTTTGGTTAGCATTGGCTCAACTTGCAGTAGTCTCACGGCTTCCGGCAAAACACAAAGAGAGGGCGGAAGCAAATTCATACATTTGGTTGATTGTCTTCTTGAAGTCGGCGGACAATTTGTATCGATGTCTTGTGATTCGAGGCGTGCGAACAATAGCCGCCATGGAGGTAGGGCTGCATGATTGCTCGACGCAATGGCTATTCCGCGGAGGATGGCGCTCCTGCTCAAGAAGACGTACGTATCACGGACTTTCGTTAGGCCAATCCCTGGAGAAGGGGAGCTTCCTTTCGCTAGCAGAAGTGCCGATCTGTGACAACGTGGTCAAGCTCCGGCAGTCATCGTCCGTGACAACAAGATTGCCTTTGTTGCTCTTCGCAACCCCACCTCCTTTAGACAGCGACCCCGATCCCCTCGAAAGTCTCAAAGAAAGAGGACTTTTCACGAATCGTCCAGCACCAACCCTTCCGAGGCGAGCCCCTCGGTGTCGCTTTCTTCCTTCTCTCCCACCTATCTTGCCATCCTTCGTCCATGTTCCCCCACACCTTGTATCTCCACTCTGGCAAAGCAATCGTTAGGAGCTGTCTGTCTCGAGCAGAGATGCAATCCTCATGGCGTTCCTTTGAGCTTCAGAAACGCTTCACAGCCGCACAGCACCCTTCCAGCCGACATGATCGCCGATACTGAATCTTCAGTTCAAACCCATGGTCAAGATTACAGAACGCACGAGTCAAAGTCATCGTTCGGATCGAGTGTCAGCTTCCACACCGTCTTCTCTTCCATATCTGAAAGCTCGTTCGGATCGTCTCCAACAACAACACGGCAGCGAAGCGGGTGCGCGTTGAGCTCGGACCTTGACACGCCAACAGTGGACACTCGAGTACCCAAGCGGGAACGCTGCATTGCAACCACGCACGGCCGCCCGACGCTCACTCGCCACACCACCGCTGATACGTTTGGTAAAAATGCCGAACCTTCCTCAAGATCTGAGACTGACACTCTAGAGAGATCAGACTTGCTGCAACAGCGACAAGGTAGTCGAGAGACCGATCCTGAACACCTCCATGGCCATCCTGTAGAACTCGTTCCGAAACGTACGATGTCAAGCTCCTCTCATGGCATCTCCTCTCGAGGTATCGATACACACGAGCCTCCTTTCGAACAACCTCCCACAAGAGCTTCGACCGCTGACCTCAACCATGAACGCCAATGCGCAGCCATGCCGAAGCAAGGGTCGGGCCAAGCAACCGAGGACGAGGACACATTCACATCTGGAAGCAGCGCCGTCCCAACATCCCCTGCCTACGTGGATCCCAGCGCCAACAGCTGCGTCGCCCACCTTCCTTGTCGCAAATCCACGTCAGCCTCAACCCTCCAGAGTACGAAACGCAACTCGCAGTCCACCATCTGGTCCGACAAGGAACCACACAAGTCAGCCGACCACTCCACCTTGACAGGATCGATCGACTGGGGCGCCAATTTCTGGTGTGTCGTCAGAGACCCCTTTCTGCCCGACAACACCTTCTTCGCTAATCCGCAGACGGGCGAGTGTCGATGGACCTTGCCCGCAGGAACCATGGTGCTACCGCCGAATGACGCTGGCGAGTGGTGGCAGCTGCTGGACGAGCAAACCGAGCAAGAGTATTACTACCACACGCGCACACAAGAGTCTCGGTGGACGAGGCCGGATAGTCGACAAGGGATCGTGATCCCTATGCTGGCCATTCAGAACTCGACTCATGTCACACGTGCAACGAAGAAAGCGAGTTGCTGGGACAAGACCCGCGTCGAGCAGGATGCATCGAGTGCGGATAAGGTCGAGGCTATTGATTCATACGAAATAGAGCAAGGTGTCGTCACGACACCCCTTCGACCACGAACAAAGTCTCTCCCCCTTTCTATGCACCGACTCGGATATCAAGACGCGGGTCTGATGCGTAACACACGCAGTAACATTGACCGCCACCTTCCGAACCAGAACCACAAAAGCAAGTTCACGAGCAAAGACAACAAGAAAGAAGAGAACATGTCCTTGGAAGAATCGAAAGAGGATCTCGCCAAACGAGCCAGACGCAGCATTCTGATTCGCGATCAGAAGATTTTGGAGCATGCACGGCAGACATCCGGTCCACCCTTCCGACCCGATCCGACGCTCATGAGACGTCCAACCGCGGCGCGGCACCCTCGACCGTCCACGACCGGTGCCATCGCAATGGAGCAGCAACTGACCCGTGCTCAGTTCCCCTCAACCAGCGACGCTCGCAATCCGCTCCACTCCGAGTTCAGATCGGGACCCAAGTCACGTTCAAACAAACGCTCCAATGCATCATCAAGCATCGTCATCCAAAAGATCGGCAAAGGTCTCGCCTTCAACGCTACCTCCTTCACACCTTCCATCTCCTCTTCCTCTGCGCTACACCATCAACGCTCCCTTCCCTTCCTGCATCTCAAACGACAACGCTCAACCATGCTCGTCGATTCGAAGAGCGCTGTTCAACCCAACCGCCCAGTGCAGCCCGATCGGACGCTGCAGTGGGGATCAACTCGACCGACGTCGCAGAACGGCGTTGCCATCGCATTGAACGACGAGAGTGGATGGTACGATGACGAAAGCACCAAGAAAAGGACAAGAGCGAAAATGAGGATGATCGACTTTTTCGCTTGCTTCACGCCGAGGCAACGGTGACCCGCGCGACGGGTAGGGACTCTGACTCCTTCTGTACTGTTTGCGGCCTGCGAAGCTGTTGTGATACTTCTCTCTTGCACTTTTTCGTGACGAAATCTGACGCAGACCTGACTTCGACCCTAACGCAAAGCTTCGTTTTTTCACCCTGCGCGTGCCTCCATATCAGCCCCCCACCCACCTCGCTCCCCACCTCATCCCTCCTCCCACGGCGGCCTCACCTCCCCCACCACAACCAACCCCACCCTCGTCCCACTCAACATCAACCTCGCCGCCCTCAAGTTCCTATTCCACCTCACCGCCGTCACCGCCAACACGCCACTCCACGCGCCTACATGCCACTCCCTCGCCTCGGCCTTATTCGCGATCTCCGGTAGCAGATGAGTCCTCACCTTCAACTCACCCGTCCCCCTATCCAGTACCTGCTGCCACACAGCCAGGTGGTTCCTCTGACTGCGCCGGAGCGTGCGCAGCGCGTTGGCCACCTTCACCTCCCCATGCGCCGTACCCACCGCAACCATCGGATGGAAGGGCGATGCATCCATCGACGTGATCCTCGACGGTGTGTGGGTCACCGTTCTCGACCGCAGCATCTCTTCCGGTCGCAACGAGTAATGCGCTAGACTTCCATCCGCATGTTCGTGCAGCAGACTCCCACCGGAGAACGATGAGAACGCGCAACAGTGGTGGATCGTTCGACTGCGTTCGACCGACTTCGCCTCGCACCGCACCAGGTCCGAGAGACACGTGAGACCGTCCAATGAGACGGAGAATATCGTTCGTGGGAGTGAAGAGTGCTGTGCGACTCCATCTGAGTTGATGGTAGGGAGGAGGACGAACGTCAGGTCGGTGATGGCGGAACGATGGGCTCGAACGACGTGGTCGGGCATAGGCGGGAGGTTGGCTGAATGGGATGAGCGGAGGATGCGCCCGATATTGAAGACGCCGAGCCAGCCGCGGGAGCCTCCGAAGGCGAGGAGTTCACCTCCGGCCCAGGCGAGGCTGGTGGCGGTTTGTTGCGGATGCGTCAGTGTCAGGATCGGTTCGAGCTGTACATAGACTGGCTCCTGCGAAGAACTCTTCCCTCTGCGGGAGAGCAATTCCGGATGGGGAACGGAAAACACGCTCAGACTGCCATCTGCAAAGCAGCCCGCAAGCAAACCCAGTCGACGCGGCGCAGTGGCATCCTTCCCCTGATCCTGTTTCCCTCCGTCAGCATAGTCATACCCAATCGGACACCACGCCAGCTTGTACGCCGTCCCAATATCATGGCATACCACCATCTCTAGTCGAGCCTCCCCCTTGTCTTTCTTCTCCTCACCTTGCGTCCCATCAGGCGCGACGCTCCAAATCTGCAAGCTCGCTTTTGCCGGTCTCTCTTCTTTCGCACCGATCATCGTCAACGGCGCTTGAGAATTCGCCGCCGATACGACAAAGTACTCCTTGCCCGTATTCAGATGCACCGGCACCGGCACCCAGTCGAGCGCGTACACGTGACCGCCGACGTTCATGACGTGTCCTTCATCCGGCACCACACCCAAGCTGTCCAGTCTCTTCGCTGTGCCTTTCGGGATCTGCACCGGAACCTCTTGATCCGTCGGCCCAATCGAAACGTGCAGCACATCGCCGCAGATCGAACCTTTTTCTTCAAATCCGAGGTTCGGGATGTCGGCGAACTTGGGATCCGAAAGGTTGACCGGCTCTTGGTTGGCGTCGAGAGCTGCAATGGCTTCTTCGTCTTCGTCAGCTGCTGCGGCGGCTTCCTCGTCTTCGTCGGCTGCTTCGCGGTCTGCACCCGCGCCACCGGAGTTGGCTTTTGTGGTGGTTTTCGCTCTGGACGGTGTCTTGGGCGAATCACGCACGACGCTCTGCTTGAGCCGACTGCGCATGGTGAGTTCGGGGACGGCGAGTTTCATGACCGTGGTCGGATGTCGTAGCGGAGCTTGTTGGGGTGTCGTGGTATCCTGCATGAATGGCTTCGCATCTTTGCTGGAAAGAAGCTTGAGTGTGTGCAGTTGAGCGTCGATCCATGGCTGGACGAATGGCCACCCGGGTTGATTCCTTCGCACGATTGCTGCACTGGTAGCGCTCGAATTCGAAAGCAGTTTTGCTTTGGCATCACGAGCCCTCTCTGACATTTCGACATTCTGCTTCCATCCAAATGCTTTGCCAGGCCACCACCCCCAGTCATAAACCCCCTCCTTCGGAACCCATCCGACTTGTCCGAACCAGAACTTGAGCAGCTGCTTCTTGATCAACGCATATGCCGACGGATCAAGCCAAGTCTTGACGTGTCCGTCCGTAGGCCATGAAAGCGCCTTTCCCACCTCCCTTTTCCTCACCTCATCCGGCTGCGAGCCTGCGTCCTCGTTCGAAAAGTACGCTACGAGGGACGAAGGCGGCACACCAAAAAAGGGCGGATGGTAGACACCCTGCAGCCAAAGCGGACGTAGAGAACGTGGCTTTTGAGTTTTCATCTGGATACGATTGAGTGCGCTGAGCGGGCCCTCATGAGTGTAGACCTCAACATCGGGCGTCTTGCCACTGGAAGGACCGTCGTCGTCGTCATCGTAATCGTCGTCCTCTTCAAGCTTGGCTTTCGCTTTGCCCTTTGCGCTTCGTGGTACTGACGGACGCGGCGCTGCTGGAGTCTTGAATTGTGGAAGGGGCGTAGATGGTGCTGGCGTTGCGTGTGGTGGTGGAGGCGTTGATTGCAGCCGCTCCTCGGTAGCAGAAGAATTTGCTGCGGATGCGTCCGCGGAGACATCGGTGGTACCTGGTTTCGCGGTTTCTTCCTCCGCGGGCAGTTCGCGATAATTGGGTCTCGCTGCGGCCGCTCGCGTTGCCCTAGCACGGGTCGGCTTCGTGGTGCTCGATCCTGCTGCTACATTCGGCTGGGCTGTTGCGTTCTCGATGACGGTGTCGGCTGCATATGCGACCGGTTTATCGGCGTCGCTCGAGGTGGAAGCATCGCCTGTTGCTACGTCGAGCTTTGCTTTCTTGCGAGCAGGTGTGGCTCTCTTGCTGGATGCAGTGGGCATCTTGACGAACCGGCCTCCCTTATGGTCTCAAACGCAGCGAAGCCTGCATAACGGATGTGGTGGTGCTTGCGAAGATGGTAGGATGAGCCGAGCAGGGTTGGGTGGTGCTCGGGCCATGAAATGTGATAGATGAGGATGAGCAACGTGACGTGCCAGAAAGTCACAGGTACGTTCAGGGTCCAGTCTGCGAGAGCGTAATTTTGGCCATCAATGTAGAGAACGAAAAAAAACCAAAAATTGGGGGATCAGAAAAACAGCAGAAAATCATTCAAGGTCACGAAGCAAAGAAAGAGCTTGCTCAACACAGACCTATGGGCCGATTTGATTGACCAATGTATACGACTCGCCAGTAGAATGTCATCGGGGTATAGCATCTCTCAGGCTTGGAAGCATCCTGTGAGGCATGAGTTGCTTGCCTGAGACTGACTGTAGGTGGCGAATCGGAAAAGCGGATCGTGAAGCAGATGATCGCTACTGTGTATGCACGTACATGCACAATTGCCATTGGTGTCTGCTTGCAGTGATTCGGCGCTTATATGCAAGGTGTAGAGTATTGATAGTGTTAACCAATTTGTTGGAAACTGCAGAGGAAAACACGAGTGCTGAATGCGAGCTGAACGAGATGGCTCCTCTTTCGGTGCAAAGCCCGGAGTTGCTGCAAAGGCCGGAGCCAGAAGTCGGGTCAAAGGCCGTCGCGTCGCTCCAAACGCACCGAGATGCCCAACATATTGTAGTTCTATTGGAGGACACTTCGTCTCTCGCAGCTTAAAAAAAGACGCTCCGCTCTGAACGCGGCGACACTTTATGCGCTCCGTTTCAATTTCATGAGAAGCGCACTGTGACTTTGTTCAGAGCTTGGACAAGGCGGACACATGCAAGGTAGATCGAGATTCATGCGGCTCGATACGGTTCCGCGGGTCGTCTCGATGGCCGCTGCCGACGCACAAGATCGATCGGGATCCTTCGCGGATCTCGCACCGCCATTGGAGGCAGCGACCGTAGAGCGACGTAGAGTGGCCACCGCCGGCTTGGCTTCCAGTACGTCGACGTGAATCTTGGCGGGCAAGACAAGCGAGCCGATTCAGGGGCTGGATGCGTCGCGCGGTCTCGCAGCAGCCAATACATCATTTTCGCATGGTTTTGCGATTTAGGGGCGCGAAGCAGCGTCGCCGACGTCGTTGTACCTAGCCGAGACTGTCAAAAAACAGAGACCTGCCTATTTTGACACGACGAGGGACGCTATGCTGCTCTGGCAACAGATGCGTTCCAGCAAGTAATGCCGACCAGTGACTTGCCCGAAGATGCTCGTGTGTAAGCACAGCGAAGACGGGCTGCTCACAAGTTGCCCTCCTTTGCCCGCTCAGCGTGTGTACATGCATGCGCGAAGAGCCGACGAAGCTGCACTGACCCCTATTTCCTGCTGCTTGTCCCTCGCATACTTTTTCGGAAACGCGCTCCTTGACCAAGTATACGAGGGTCTGTAGATGGTAGGCTTCTAGCAAAGAGCTTTGCTAAAGATCGATACATCTCGACTGGAGGAATGGAGCTAGAGCGCTCGCTGCTGCGTCCGGGGGAATGTACGCCGGCTCCGCGGGTCAATCTTAGCTGGTTGATCAGCCAAAGGCGTCCGATCCTCGATACTGTGACTGCTCACAGGAAGGAGGCTTAGAGCAGCTGTACGCTTCAGTCCTTCCTCGCGTCGACTCGCTTGTACCGAAGTCTTCGTGATCAAAGGTCCCCTGCTCGCTTGAATGGCGACTCTCACGGATCGAAAGCGCCGAGCTTCAGGGGCTACGGGCCATCAGGATAAATTCGGGAGGCATGACGGATCCCGTCTGGCCTTTTCAACGACGCCTTTGAGTCAGTGGATTTCGTTGGTAGAAGACGCAACAGAAGTCCGAAAGCACACATGTAGCTTATCCTTTGTATGCAGCTTACAAACACGACAAAGCCACGATCACGTCGAGACTCTGCGCTTCAAAGGTAATTGAGGCTCTGGGCATCCTATCCGGTCCCGCTCGTCCTCCATCAAAGGCGTTCGGGACTGCAAGGCGACACGGTAATTCGCAACAATGGACGTGACCTCGCGATCCCGTGGCAAATGATCTGAATCGTTCTAGGCTTGGACTCCAAAGAGCTCCCTGGAATGGAATCGAATCTTCTTTCCTCCGACCTTCCAAAACGAGCGTAGCTGTGGTAACGAAGCTGCAGGGACGTCTCACCGTAGAAGTGAAGGTGATATTGTTGTCGTCGACCTGCATGCCTTGACGCATATCCAAATTCAAAACACTGGATTCAAGGAAATCGCTTGGTGGACGGCAATCCAACCTTAAAAAAAAAACATAGGCAATTTCAGATTTTCCGACCCCGCGCTGCTTAGGCTCTGCAGCCACAAATTATATCAAACCCGATCGAAACGAACTCGAGAATTTGCGAAAAAAAAAAAAACCAACAACAAAAAAGAGCAAACAGGGGTTTGCGTCGATGCTCTCGCTCCATCTCGCGTTCAGGAGCACACCGAGCGAACCCCTTTTTCCTGCAAAATAAAGAAAACAAATGAAATTGCAGAGGAGAGAGAGCAATGCAACTTCAAAATGCAGCTTGGACGCAAGCAAGGCGGCTGATGAAGTTGGAAATTTCGTCCACCGACAGGGCAACCTGCGAGCAGCCTTTCTTTCCCTTGGTCTGCCCAGCAGTGTTCGCCTTGCGGATGACCAAGTCCCAGGACGCGAACTCGCTTCTGCTGCTTTGCTGCCGCCCAAAGGGCGCTTGTATTTGCGCTTAAGCCGCCTGCTGGCTGAGTGAGTGTGCGTGTGTTGCTCTGTTGAGAAGTGCATTTCGATGCATCCGCTCCAGTCGCCAAACACTCAGCCAACACCCTTGATCAACTCTTGGCCGGTACTCGTCATCCTCGACGGCGCTTCCTTCAGCCCCTCTCTTCATCGTCTCTGACCCGCGACACCATCGTCATCGTCGCCCCCTTTTCCCGACATCTCCCTCCGTAGGCAGCCCCTACACGCATCGGCTGCGCTTCTCTCTTCTGAAACTTCATCGCGTTGCTTTCATCGAGACATTTATCCTCAAACACGCGTTTATACTGCTGCCATCATACCTCGACGACGACAACAACTCTCCTCTGGTCGCCATCGTCTCATCTCGTCGTATGGCTACACTCAACTCTACATCCAACACATCGCTTGTTTCTCACATCTAGTCATACATATCATCTTCAACGCTGCCAAACGATACTGACCCACAACGACGACCTCGAATTCTCCCCCGCCTTCCCCTTGACCGCACTTAAACCGGCTCATTCGATCGACGTTCGAACGTTGGCAGCCAGCATCACTCTGGAGTGACATGCCTTAAAGCAACAACCTTCTCGTTCGACCGCTCGGCTTGCTTCTTCTTCTTCCCGTCGCGTCATCTCCGTCGATCCCAGTCAACATCATGCCGAACCTACCTTTACCCTCCAGATCGCCCTTGCTCGGCTCGCGCAAAGTGCTGCGTGACTCCAGCCCTGCGCCTCCCACACCGACACGTACCAGCTCCGCCTCTCCGCTTCCACCATCTTCCTCCTCATCATCCGCAGCGTCTTCGTCAACGCCATCATCATCGTCTACTCCAATAGCAGGTCCGAGCTCTCCCGTCAAGTCTCCAGTCAAGCCGATCGCATCCGGCAAGGAGCTCTCCGAACAATATGAGCTGCTCGAAAAGATCGGCGCCGGCTCCTTCGGTACCGTCTACAAGGCCATGCACAAAGAATCGCGCCAGATTGTAGCCATCAAGCAGGTCGATCTCGAAGACTCCGACGACGACATCAGCGAGATTCAGCAGGAGATCGCCCATCTCGCTCAGTGCGACAGCGAGTGGGTCACGCGCTATTACGGCAGCTTCGTGAAAGGCTACAAACTCTGGATCATCATGGAATACCTTGCAGGCGGCTCCTGTCTCGACTTGCTCAAAGCCGGCTCCTTCTCGGAAGCCCACATTGCCATCATCTGTCGAGAGCTCCTTCTCGGTCTTGAATATCTGCACAACGAGGGCAAGATTCACCGAGACATCAAGGCTGCCAACGTTCTCCTTTCCGCGAGCGGCAAAGTCAAGCTCGCCGATTTCGGTGTGGCAGCCCAGCTTTCTAACAACAAGTCCAGGCGTAACACGTTTGTCGGCACACCCTTCTGGATGGCACCTGAGGTGATCCGTCAAGCCGGTTACGACTACAAAGCCGACATCTGGTCGCTCGGCATCACTGCCATCGAGATGGCCAAGGGCGAGCCACCGCTCGCCGAATACCACCCCATGCGCGTCCTCTTCCTCATCCCCAAAGCCAAAAGTCCGACACTCGATGGCAACTTTTCTTCGGCCTTCAAAGACTTTGTTGATCTCTGCCTCATCAAGGATCCAAAGCATCGCCCCTCCACCAAGGAGCTCCTCTCACATCGCTTCATCAAATACGCTAAAAAGACGGTCTTGCTTACCGAACTCATCGAGAAGCACCAGGAGTACAAGGCCCGCGGGGCCACACGTGGTGGTGCTATCGTTCGCGATCATCTGCGCGGTGTCGACGCAGAATCGACTATCGGCGCTAGCACCATCATGAGCGAGTGGCAATTCGACACCATGCGCTCACGCATGTCCATGTACGACGAGGCTAATGCCGGTGACGATGCTGACGAGTTTGCCGGGAGCCTCGACGTCTGGGCCAAGCCTGGTCGAGGTCCTCCCGCTACAGTGGAACAGCGTGCAGGCTACGAGACTGTTCGGGGCGCACGTCCTGCCGGCCACCTGATGGAAGCCGTCGACAGTGCCATGCATACGCCTGTGCGCAACGGCACGCTTCGCGCCACTCAAGCTAACAGAGCCGGCGATCGCGACGACGTCTCGGACCTTTCGACGGAAGCCTATTCGAGCAGCGATGCGCTCAGTCGAGCCTCGAGCACTCCTGCCACCTCGACTGCATCTGGCCCCTCAACACCAGCGGAAAAGGCGCGTGATTCGATCCATGTCGATGCGCTGGCTGCTTCTTTCCGCGGCATGAAGACTTCGGATGACGCTGCCAGCCGCTACGTTGCTGGGGGAATTGGCAGGAACGCTGGAGCATCTTCCTCTGTGTCGCATCTCGTGCCTCCAGCCGCCAGCGGCTTGGCTGAAAGCAGCGTTGATGTGGCGACCGCAGCGGCGACGTTGGCCTCGGCTGAACCGGGTTCGACCGCCACGCTGCACATCCGGTGTGCTCGCGATGGAAAGGCCTCGCCTAGCCACAGCAGGAACAACTCGGCAGCATCCTCGGCGCGCTCCACGGAGACGCGTCCACGTCGAAGCAGCTGGAACGAGCGCAACGACATCAACGGCACTGTGCTCAAGGAGGCCGACGTCGCAAACGGTCTCGAGACGCTGCGACCAGTTCGTCGACTCGATGCGGGCGGGTCTTCCCGAGCGAGTCAGCAGTACATTGGCAGCTTGCGGAGCGGCTCGGCTCCTTCGGGATTGGACAAGTCGGGCAGACCCATTCAGGCAGGCGGGGCTTCGCCGCAGCGGGCCTTGCGGCATTCGCGCTCGGCACTGGCCAGCTCATCCAGCACCGCCAGAGCACACGCCACGGCGGGCGAAAACCTGGTGCGCGACGTCATCCTGCCAGTCATGGACCGTGCCAAAGAGCAGGAGCTGGCGGCACCCGAGGTGGAAGCGCTCAATATGATCTCGAAGGGCTTTGAGGATCTGAGCATGCTCAACTCGCGTCTCGCCTACTCTACCATTGTCGACCTGCTGCTCAGCATGAACGACAATGAGCAGGCACGCGAGAACCTATCGACGACATTCCGGCAGCGGCTGACAGGTCCGCAGATTGCCAAGCTGCAGGCAATGCCGGTGGCGGAAGAGGCACCGAGGTCGCCCATTGCGGATTTGCTGTATGGAAGGTGGTTGGAGGGTCTGCGCACCCGTTGGATGGGGTATTGAGGTCGAATGGTGGATCTTTCTCTGGCTCTCGACGCATGCATCTAGCATTCATTGTTTTGTTTCTGCACTCACATTCACTGTTTTGCATTCATACATCATGGACTCCAACATTATTCTATGAGGTCCGAGCTGAGTTGTAGGTGGTGGTATGATTGAGCATGTGTTGTTCCGAAGAGTTCCATTGCGAAGGATAGAATGAGCGATGAACTGACAGAGCGAATGAACGAGGAACGCAGAGATGAATCCGGAATCTTAGGCTTTTGACTGGGACTCCTCCTGCGATGGTAGCACTTGATCCAAGTTGCTCGATTCGTCCTCTGCCTCCCTGATGGTTTGTCTCAGCTTTTCGATCTCTTCCTTGTTGGGCTGTTGTTCGTTTGTTCTCAACCTGTTGATCAGCCTGATACCGTTGACGGCCTTTCTGAAGGTTCTCTTTGCGTTGAAAGCGGACTTGATGTCTGGGAGCAGATCCTTCTGTTCGGCGCTTGCGGCTGGTTGGGCGCCTCCTGTAGGAGCGGCTTCTTGGAGCCATTGGTGTTGCAACGCTTGCTTGGCGGTGAGGCGTTTGGAAGGGTCGATGGTGAGGAGCTTGTTGATAAAGTCCTTGGCTTGGTCCGAGACGTCTTCCCAGTACTGTTTGGGTTCGAAGCGGTAGTCGGCGTTGATGATGGCTTGCATCTCTTCCATGGTGGTGTCGCGGTCGAAGGGGGTGTAGCCGCAGAGGAGGAAGTAGGTGATGACGCCGATGGCCCACATGTCGACGGGTTTGCCATGACCCGTCTTTTTAAAGATTTCGGGAGCCATGTATCCGGGAGTACCGCAAGTGGTCGAGAGCACCGTGATCTTTTCGTCATCCACCACCCGTGACAAGCCGAAATCGGCAATCAAGAGATCACTTTCTTCGGTCTTGTCTCTGAACAAGAGGTTTTCGGGTTTGAGATCACGATGAACGATGCCCTGATCGTGCAAGTAGACGACGGCTTCTGTGATGGTGCGAACGAGATGGGCGGCATCCTTCTCGTAGTAGTTGCCTCGCTCGCAGATTCGGTCAAAGAGTTCTCCTCCGACGCACAGATCGGTGACGAGGTAGAGGTTGTTCATGGTCTCAAAGTAGTCGACGAGGGTGACGATGGATCGATGCCCTTGCGAGACACGTTTGAGTGCTTGGATCTCGTTGCGCACCATGTGCTCTCGTCCTTCCATGAGCTTTTTGGAGATGACTTTGCATGCGTAGTATTGACCGGTCTTGATGTGAACCGCCTCTTTGACGACAGCGTAGGTGCCCTGACCGAGCGTGCGGCCGGTCTTGTAGGCGCATGGCACGGTCTGAGGATTTGACGAGGCCATGATGGTATTTTGCGTCAAAAGTGTGTTCGAGGGAGATTGGGCTCAGATAAGTTGGTCCGGCGACAGGGATGGATGGGTGTGAGAGCTGCAATGCAGATGAGCTGTTGCAGTCGAGTTTGGTGGAAGAGGAAAGGTCCAGTTGGAAGATCGAAGCTTGAAGATAGGCGAGCGAGTTGCAATCCGTAACCTAGTCAGTCGGTGGAGGGTACGCAGTGCCGTCGAGTGCTTTGAGTCTGATAGCAACCGCGCTAAGAGCTGCATGCTGCTGCGTCCTGATGCTATTTTAAATAAATAAAGTGTGTGAAACAATCAAGTGCACGGGCGCAGTTGACTTTTGCAACCTCTCGAGGCGTGGTGCCAGAGAGACGCCAAGACGCTGTGAGCAGCACTCGCACGACAGAGGCTCGACTCGCTTCGAATTTTCCCTACATGTTAGTTTCGAGTTCGAGCCGCAAAGAGGGGCAAAAAAAGAAGAAATTGAACGGAAATCAGTCGTCTGACCCGATGCGATGCCGCGGCCGTCTTTCTCGAAAGGCACTGCTGCAGCAAGACGCTCTAGAGCTGTCAGATGCGGTGTCGTTGGAGTTGGAATGCATACAATCAACTTAGACTCTGTCCGTTTGTGCATCGTCGTCCTTCCACTCGGACTACCATCCCCCACTCCATCTCCTTCGCCATACCCCTACCCATTGTATCACTACCTCCTCCAAAAGTACATCGCATACAGTATCCTCATAGACTCGACTCTGACTCTCTCACGGCACCTTCTTGCGCTCCAACTTTGCATCTGCTCGGACTCATTCGGCTCCCGGCTTCCAGACTCTTGTACCAACATCGATACCTTCGCCGCACTTTTCGGTCGTGATCCTCTGAAGGCCACTATAAAGCTCTCTATCATCGTTACACTCCGACACCTCCCTCCGAATACCCACAGCGCATGCATCTCCAGCTCTGAAAGGGTCTAGCCTGCGACGGAGCCTGATCATCCACTGGCCTCACTCCCGCCATGATCAACTTTTTTGGTGGCAAGGCATCGAACGCCTCGGCTGCTTCGACGAATGGCGCACGTCCTGCCTCAACATCAAGCGCCTCTTCTACTGCGGCTGCCGGTCAACCTCCTCTGAAAAAGACCAAACTCGCCCCATCGCCCGTCACAGTCGTCACAACCGTCAAGAGGAAGGTGGCCCCACCCAAACCCGCCGAACCCCGCGATCCCATCGCTGCTCTCTCTGGCTACAACTCCAAGAATGCTTTGCCCGAAGAGAAACGTCGACGCATCATCGAAGAGAGGCTAGCCGCGCAACGTCAAAAGTCGATCGAGACCAGTCTCGAGGCCCAACTTAAAGCTCCTGTCAAAAAGTCTGGCAGCTCGACCTCGCGCAAATCCGCAGCATCGTCCTCCAAGCCAAAACAAAAGAAGCCTCGCAAGAAGGTCGTCGACTCGAGCTCTGAAGACGACGACTTTGGCGACTACGGCAAATCGTCTCGCAAGTCAAGCACTGCTCCTTCCACGCCTCGCGGGTCCAAGCGTGCGAGCGTCGACCCCCATCCGAGCTCGGACAGCTACCAAAAGGTTGGACGAGAAGGCGTGCGACCCAATTACACTGTTCCACGCGACATCCTCGCATCCTCCACCCAGACAAGGTCCAACGGCGACGCAGCAACCGACGCAGCGCATCCAACAGCTGCCAGACCCATCTCCTCTGCCGACATCGTCACCGCCAACATCAAGGGCTACGGCCCATACTTTCATGGTCTCGGCGATGCTCCCCGCGCTGTCCTCGAGTATCCCGGTCCAGGTGCTTCCGAGGAGTTCCTGCTGCTGGTCCCCAAGGATGCCGACGAGTACGATCCTCTCATGGAGCTCCTCGCCACGGTCCGTGCCATTGCGACGCACTACCTCACACCAGAACAACGCAAAGCTTTTGGCGCGCTCGACAGTCTCGAGGTATCTAACAATGCCGGCATGATCTTGCCTAGTGCCTCCAACGGTACATCTGCTTCTACCAGCGCCACTTCCAACGCGACTGCAGCTCTCGCCGAATCGAATGGCATCAATGGCGCGCGTGCAAGGTCAGCCGATTTGCTCGACGGTCAAGGCTCAAAAGCCGAGCGTCGAGATGAGCTCATCGGCCGTGGCACGGGCAAGGATGCTGGATCCAGTACGCCAGAGCCTCATGCCAATGGCATCTCGCAGACGGCGCCGGTTTCCCCAACTTCGCAAAGTGGCAGCATTAATGCATCGACAGGTGGTGCTTCGGTCGCAAAGACGGTTCTCGTCAATAACGCCTTGCTTCGACTCGACTCGCCCGCTCCTACCGAGCTCTCGCTCGCCTCGGACCACTCCTCCTCCACTCCCGCATCCTCATCGGCCACCGACCCAGACTCGATCCTCCGCTCCTTCACCAAAGCACGCAATCGTCGCGATGGACCGCTGTTCATGCGCACGCTCGCGCGCTTCAACTCCGCCCTCGTCGCCTTGCGTGACACCGGCGCCCTCGCAGCCAACATCGCCGAACTCGGCATATCCACTGGCGTACCAGAGGGGATCTGGCGGTTGATTCAGGATCAAGTGTACGCACGTGTCGTAGGTCCACGCGTCGAAGAGCTCGGGCGGTATCAAGCTTTCTCGGACAACGTCTACGGCGAACTACTGCCACGCTTCATGTCCGAGATCGCGCAGCTTACTGCGCTTGGTCCTGACAAAGTCTTTGTCGACCTCGGATCCGGTGTGGGGAATTTGCTGATTCAGACGAGTCTGCAGACTGGTGCCGAGGCGTTTGGGTGCGAAATGATGCCCATTCCAGCCTCGTTGGCGAGTCAACAGATTGTCGAGGCACAGTCTCGGTGGACTGCGTGGGGTTTGCGGGGTGGTGGAGCGATCGAAGCCTGGCAGGGTGATTTCGGAGAACACACCGGTGTCCGAGATGTCCTCAAACGAGCGGATCTTGTGTTGGTCAACAACTATGCGTTCCTACCGCGAACGAACGAGAACCTCTCATTGCTGTTTTTGGATCTGCCAGATGGGGCCAAGGTGGTCTCGTTGAAACCGTTCGTTCCGCCGGACTTCAGGTTGACGCAGAGGACGTTGAGCAGTCCATTGGCCATCTTGCGGGTGACGGAGAGGTTGTACACTTCCGGATGTGTGAGTTGGGCGGACGGTGGTGGGAAGTACTATATTCAGGAGGTGGATAGGAGCTTGGTGAGGGAGTTCTTGGAGGGGAAGAGGGACGTTGGTGGTGATGGAGGACCGAGGGGAAAGAGGGGGAAGAAGGAGGAGGACGGTGGGAAGAGCGATTTGATGGTGGGTCAGGATGTCAGGAGGAAGCGATGGAAGGCTGCGATTGAAGACGATGATGACGAGGATGAGGACGAGATCTGAGTATCCTCAAGATCACTTCAGTGTCCAGTACTCGGCCTTTATACCAATCAAATCATTTATCACTATCCCGACCAATCAATTGGTGATGCATGTCTATTGCTTTCATGATATGTGGTGGTGGGTATATGCTGATACAATCCAGTCTCAAGTGGAACCTCCTTGCCCTCTTCTCTACACCTTCTCCGCTCCCATCAGGTGCATCGCAGTCTCGAACGCAAACAGCGCCGCTGCATTCGTCGGGAACGCCCTCAACAGACACGGCAAGAATCCTGTGTACACGCCCCTAACCTTTCTCCACCAGACCACATCTTTCCCCCTCGCATTCCAAGCGCTCAACCAGGCGCTCTTAACATCCTTGTACTTTGGGTCCTTGATGTTATCCGCCATCATCCGATTCTTGATGACGTCGGCTGGGAAAGCGGTCAACCAGAAGACCTCTGCACCTAGACCTCCAGAGATGAAGGTGATGGTTCCGGGGGAAAGTTCCCACGAGGTACCCTTCCAGCTAGAGAAGAGCTGTTGGAAGTATTCGTACGAGCCGAACATTGCAGCGAAGCTGGAGCGGAAGAGGAGAGTCGCTGGTAGCGCGTGCCACAGACCGAACACGCCACGCTGCGCGACGATCTGGCGGATGCAATCGAGTGGACCTCTGAACTCGGACACTACGGTCGAGGGTTGACCGGGTAGGTGAAGCGATACGCGTTGGGTTTGCATCTGCAATTTGGCCTTGATCAGCTCCACCGGAGTGGTGACGAAGCTGTTTGTCCAGCCCGCCATTAAGCCCGCCAGCGCGTGATACTTGACGGCAAGCCCCTTAACGCTGTCCTCTTCTCCATAGGACGGGTTGGTGAGACGTGCGAAGAATCGTCGATAGTTGTGAAGACTTCCTAGCAGCACCGAGTCAGTGAGAGCCCATCCAAATGCAGGGGGTGTTGCACCTTTGTACAGTCCGAGCAGGGATTCGCGTCGTGCTAGTTGGAGGAAGCAGTCGAGCGGTCCAGTGTACGTTCCGAGAGGGGAGCATTGCATGCGAACTTTGATTGTGTCGAATGGGTGACCGACGAGGAGCTTGGTGAGTCCGGAAGCTGTGCCGCCGACAAAGCCTTTGATGGAGGCGCCTGACTCCGCGCGCTGTGACGCAGATGTGGATGAGGACGAAGGTTTGTCATTCTTGAGTAAAGGAGTTGAAGGGTTTGGTGGTGGATCGGATGTGAGGTGGGCTAGCTTGGGTATTGATGTTGATGTTGATGTTGTGGAAGACGAAGCAAAAGTGGAGGCTAGCAAATTTCCTCCCCACTGAGGAACAAAGGATGCCGTGTACATCACTTGTGCGATCTCGAGCAGTGACGAAGCCCGTTGCAATGTTGGGGATTCTCTGAAGATGCAACGATGTTGAAGGCAGTCGTGCAGCCTCTGTGGAAGATGAGGAGGAGGACAGAAGGAAGGCGGTTGCATAACTTAATCGTCATCAGAAGAATTTCCGCTTCCCGAAATTTAAGATTTTGGTCAGCCAACATATTCATAGAATCGGATCATCCGCGGAGAACGAAAACTGGAGGAATGCACGAACCACTCTGTTGTCTTGAAGCAATGATTCAGCATCACTCACACTTCTGCCACCATCACCATCGCCGCTTCCCTATAATCACACTTGAGCGCATTGACTGCGCCTTCCTGCGATCAGCTCACACTCTTTTCGACCCGCACACATTCTTTTTCTCTCCACCATCATCGCCGAGCACTGTTTCAATGTCCCCACACGTGTTGAAAAGGTCATGCTAACGATAGCATGTCCTCAGCTGCACTTTCGATCAACATGCCATCTTCGAGCAACGGCGACACTCTTCCTTTCCCACTGAAACAGCACATTCCCACTCTTCTCTTCATCGCCGTCACGGCGCTCACTTCGACGCTCGTCGGCCGCACACAGGCGATTCCCTACCTCGATGAGATCTTCCATATCCCGCAGGCGAAGCGATACTGCGCAGCTCTCGCCTCCACATCTCTTCTCTCCGTGAACGATGTCTGGCAGAAGCTCAAGGGCGTAAGCTACGATGAGGGTCTCACGACTCCTCCCGGTCTCTACGCGATCTCGGTCGTACTAGCAAAGGTGCTGCCAGGATGGGAGTGCAAGGATACTATTTGGCTGAGAGCTACGAACTTGGTACTGCTCCTCACACTTCCAACTTTGGTGGCTAGGATACTTCGACAGAACGACGAGCAGGTTCAGAGCACTCCCGCCAAGGAGTCCGTCTCGGCGAAAGTAGCGACCAACAAAACGAACAAGGCGATCTCAAGGCGTCACATCGAATCGCTTCAGGCAAAAGCGAAGCTCGAACAGCCACCCACCCCCAACGCTTCGCACGACGATTTGCCAGATGTCGTTCCTCCTACCATCGCTGCTGCACATGGCTCGTCGCTAGCACCTTCAAGATCAGCATCGACGCTCCCCACAGCACAGAAGCGCAAAGAAGCCACGCCATACTTCATGGCCATAGCATGCACCATTTGCTTCCTGCCTCCCCTCTGGTTCTTTGGCTTCCTGTACTACACCGACCTGGCTTCCATCTGGCTGGTGTTGGCAATCCTTACGCTGTATAACGACTTGAATGCTGCACTGGATTTCTCCTCCGCTAGCACTGGGGCGCTGATCTCCCTGGCATCAATCTTGGCAGTATCGGTACGACAGAACAACATTGTGTGGATCGGCTTTGCAGCAGCACAAGCTGCCCTAGCGAGTGTTGGCAAACTCTTCGAGCCCGAAGTGGAAGCTGCCAACCTTCCTTCGCAGGTCGGTGCAGTGCTCAAGGTAGCGTTCGGAGAAAAGGGGCGACATTTCTGGAAAGTCATCGCGGTCAATGCGGCGCCCATGGCGCCGGTCCTGGCAGTGACTGCGTGGTTTTTGCGATGGAACGGAAGTATCGTGTTGGGCGACAAGTCGGCTCATCAAGTGGCATTGCATCTGCCGCATGTGGGTTACTTTTTGGCCTTTGCCTCCCTCTTTGGCTTCGCCCCTTTGCTGTATGGTCTGCAGCCGCCGCTGAGTGACGTCGAGTCAAAATCGAACTCGACGATGGCAGGCCTTGCCGAGTCGATTCGTCAAGCTATCGCCGTCGTAACACAGGCAACTCTCGGCTCTGTGACCGGCCTGTTGACGCTCGCGGCTGCCTTGATCGGCTTCTACATTGCAGCAGATCAATTCACCATCGAACATCCATATCTGCTTTCTGACAACCGGCACTACCCGTCCTACGTCTGGCGCAGGTTCCGCAAGTCTTACACCCTCCCTGGAACGGGCGGATACGCGGTCAAGCCGAAATTTGTGGTAGTGCCTCTGTTCGCACTCGCGCTCATCGCCTGGAGCGGAGCCCTTACGCGCAACGCAGCTCGCAAAGGCACAGGTGCACTTTTCAATCTCCTTTTCTGGCTGGCTACCTCGGCAGCATTGGTGCCGACGCCCTTGATCGAACCGAGGTACTTTTTGATGTCGTACATCTTGCTCAGGATTTTCAGCCATCCCAAAGGTGCGCGGGTGGAGGGAGAAGAGGAGAGGAGGTTGAGGTGGGTGTATCTGGCATTGGAAGTGGCGACCTACGCAGCGGTCAATGCGATCACTGTGGGGCTATTTGTCTTGAAGCCGTTCGAGTGGCCGGAGAGTGCGGTGAACAAGGCGAGGGGTGAGGGTACGACGATGCGGTACCTCTGGTAGGTGGGCGATCTGTAGCGGGAGAATGAGGTTTTGTGAACGGCATTTGTATTTCGGTATCATTCATTCTGTAAGCAGCAAAGCATTCGAGTCTTTCAATTCCGTTGGTTAGAAGCGTAGTTGGAGTCGTATCAGCCGTCGAGACTAGCGTATTGAGATCGGATGGCGGAGCACATTTGTGTCGCAGGAAAATCAAACCGCGGTTTGCTTTGCCACGCGAGGTCGAGCCGGACCGGTTTCTCGGACCGCCTGTCTGGGCGGCGGCTAAGCGAGGCGGCATGAGTGTTTGCTGCCCAGCTACGCGAGCTCTTGCGGACGTTTCACTGTTCCTGCCACCCTCCGCAGCAGTTGCTTTTGCTTGTATGTACCTCCGGCAGTGTACAAGAAAAAGTTGTGGGGAAAGGTTTTCGGACCGCGGCATGGAAGCGTCTCGCTTAAACGGCGTAAGGCGTACAGAAGCGGGATGCAGGAGTGGTGGCTTTTCTGCGCAGATGAGGCGGCGTACACGTTCGAGCCACCGCAAAGTGGGACGTCTGAGGAAGGACCACCGATAGCAAGACAGGGGAGCATCATTGTTGAGCTTCGTTGAGCCGTCTGTAAAGTAAAGGTTGAAGACCGGTCCGCCGTTCGAAGTGCAAGCGGCAGTCGTCCGAGCTGCATCATTCTCTCCCTCTCCAGCACAGCCAAGCTGGTGGACAGAGTATCTGACTCTGGAACCGAATGGCAAGGGATGCAATTACCGTAGAATGAAAGCAAAGGTGAAAAGTGGGGGTTATGACCCGGATGTTCTTGAAAGAAGTGGTGTTGTATGGACGTGGGTCGAGATAAAAAGTGTGTGTCATACCGCATGTCGCACGGTGACACAGTGAAGATAACCCATACAGTATGTGTGGGTCTGGCTTGGCCGAAGTGGAGGGTCAGCAAGTGTGGGGATGAGGGGTCGTCGGGGGTGCGCATCCGTGACGAGCGGAAAGATACGTAGGTATAGACCGAGGGGGACGGGAGGTTTGCCGAGAAGGTGGGTTTCCGAACCAGATAGTGTGCGGGATCACTCGTGTCGTCGGCATCCGAGGCCGGTGCTGTGGTCAAAAGGTTGCCGCTCAGGGTCACAGGGTCCGAGCGATAGTTGTCGAAGTGTGGTATAAGAATGGACATACGTTTGTGGTGCCTGCATAAGATCCTCCTCAGTTTTGTCTCGTAGAGTAGGTCACTGGAGCTTGCCTGTACTCTCACCAGTACCAACCGCCTCAAATTGTCTCCCATGATGGCGTCTTCAGCTCTCGGCCATCCTTTTCTGCGCACTATCCTCCTCCTTTACGTCGCCATCACTACGCTGTTTACCTCTTCTATCCACGCTCTTCCCAGCACCTCCCTTTCTATCGCCTCCCGTTCCCACCTTCGACCCATCACCGTCCGACACTACACCCTCAACGTCACCACCTCCACCCTCTTCTCCGCATGCGATCCCTTCGGCCCTACCACCGTCATCAACTCCACCCTTCCCGGTCCCACCATCCGCGCCCGTGCTGGCGAGATCCTCCGCGTCCGCGTCTACAATAACCTCGACTCCTCCACCAATCTCACGCTCCACTTCCACGGGCTCTCCATGAAGATGCATCCGGTCATGGACGGCACCATGCTCCTCTCCCAGTGGCCGATCGTGCCCGGTCAATTTTTCGACTACACGATCCCACTGACGGCGGAAGATAAGGGCACGTATTTCCACCACTCGCACGTGGGGGTGCAGGCTATGACTGCGTACGGAGCGTTGGTGGTGGAGGATCCGGAGGAGGAGGAATTTGTTGATCCGAGCTGGTATACTGTCGAGATGGAGAAGGGCAAGAGTGTGAGTTTTAGACATGTATGGGGTGAAGAAGGGTTAAACGAGAAGGGTAAGAGTGGGAGACACAGTCCGTACAGGTACGATGAGGATAGAGTGCTGGCGGTAGGTGACTGGTTTAGTTATGGCTCGATCGATCTGATCACGCGGCAGTTGAAGGGGGATCCGTTCGTTTGGCCAGGATCGGCGACCAAGTTGATGTTGAACGGCAAGTCCTCCCCCAGCAACATTTCGGCAAGTATGCAGCCGAGCTGCAACCAGACCAAGGCGGATCTTACGGGTGTGTCTTGCAGCTCCGCTCCGAAGGATTGCGGCAAGGTAGAGTACCCGACGATCCATGTGGACTTCAAACAGACCTACAGGTTGCGCTTCATCGGAGCTACCGCTCTCATGTACACCTCGTTGGGGATTTTGAAGCCAACCAAAAAGGCGTATTCGTCGGTCAACCCTACGGGTGCGTATGCGGCGCAAAAGGTGCGATGGGACAAGATGAAGGTGATCGAAGCCGATGGATCGTACCTGGATGCTCTGGAGGTGGATCACATCGAATTCACCGCGGGTCAACGTTATTCTGTGTTGTGGAAGAGTCGATCTCGATCCCAGGTGGAAAAGGATGGGATGGGTGGAGTGTATTGGATGCGAGTCGAGTCGCGTTGGAGAGCAGGTCCCAGCATGTGGGTCAAGATTGTCTACCCCAACTCTGCCACCACTGCGGCGGCAACCACACCGCCGGTGAAACTCTTTGCCGGGCAAAAAGATCTTCAGCTCCTACCACCGGAATCCTTCGGTTGGAAAGCATCTTCGCTCGCACCGCTTTCCCTGCCATACGGTCCGAATTGGTGGTATGCAGACCGAATGCCCTCCGACTCCGAGGTGACCCGAACGGTGGTGATCGACACGCAACAGGTCAAATTCTACCCATCCTCCAAGGGAGTCAAGTGGGACATGAATGGTGTGCCATTCAACGAATCCTCTCCAGGAACGTCGGCTCCCTATCTCGTCCGGACATTCCTCGGCGATACCCCATTTCCTTCCTCCTCGCAACTCCACAGTGCCATGCTGAACCCTACCAACTACTCGTACGCCAATTCCGACGGTACCACCACCGGGGACGAACGCATCGTCAACCTTTCCAACCCCACCGAACTCTCCTCCGCTTCCTCCAGACACTGGAACCAATCCTACTCCTCCTCTCTCAACATGTTCTTCGCCCAACACAACGAGATCATCGATATCGTGCTCATCAACAAACCTTCTCTACTCTCTTCTTCCGTGGAGATACATCCTTGGCACATGCATTCGCACAAGCACTACACGCGAACCATCCAACCCGGAACTTTCTCCTTCTCCCGTCTCTCCACGCTCTACTCGTCCCCCCACCCGACGGGGTTCGCAAACCCCATCTCGCGAGACACGACTGTCGCATACGCCTCCCCCGGTGCAGCTTTCGCCAACCAAACCATCCCCACCCCAGCAACAGAAGACGGCGGTTGGACAGTCCTACGCTACAAGGTAGACGCCAACAACGCCGGTGTATTTCTCTTGCACTGCCACTTGCATTTTCATCTAGAGATGGGTATGGCTACCGTCTGGGCTATCGCTCCCGAACTCCTGGCGCAGAAGAATGGCATCTACTGGCCAAAGAAAGATCGGTTGAGGGGGGAGGACGTGCAGGGGTTGGATGGAGATTATCTGCAGTTTGGCAAGAGTGTACAGGCTGTCATGTAGGTTGTAGGATTCAATGGCGCTGGGGGTGTGAGTGAAGGAAGTGTCAGCTTCAAATCGCAAATCATGTGCCCGTTGCAAAAAGTGAATGCGTGGCGATGCCTACCTCTCTCAGATCTTCCAACACACACAAACTTGGCAAAGACCACACATTTGAGAGTTTTTGGAAGACAGCATCATTGTCTTTGAAAACCCAACGAACCAGCAGCTAGTATGCATCCAAAGCAAGTAAACACCTCGCCTCTTCCGCATCCTCAGTTTCTACTCGATACAAGTCTACACATTTCAACCAGAGAACAACTTCGGATCTTATGGAAATCTAGAGCAAGAGATCGGTCGCGTAAACCAGCCCAAGGATCCACGAAGACAAAACCTGGCTAGACCGCGCCCATCTTTGAGGCGTTTACCAAACCCTAGTCTCGAGCAAGAGGTCCGACTCGGGAGCCAGACCCAAACAAGCGCGCATGAAGTTGGTGCATGCAGCCCTCTGCCTGTTCAACGAGTTGACGACATCCGTACCGGGCTTGACGACAGGCGCCTTGAGCGAGTAGCTGAGCAGACTCAGGACCGAGTACATCGAGTTCCAATCCTTGTCGCTCTCACCGGCCTTGTACGTGATGCGCGTCATCAGCTCCGCCAGGATCGTCAAGTCGAGCAGCAAGGGCGAAGCGAGCAGGGAGTCCTCGCACAGGTTGGTGACGTACAGCCTGTTGCGTCCGCCCATGCAGAGCTCCGAGGTGTAGTCGTCCATGGCGACCTTCTGGTCTCCGACGGCGGGCTGGTACTTGATGACGATGCAGTGGTCGGGGTGCTCGCCCTTGTCGGCCTTGCCGTCGGCGGTGGTCTTGCCGGGCACGGCGGGCTTGTACAGCAGGTGGTTGGCAGCACAGCAGTCGTCGACGACCGAAGACTTGGAGATCTCCTTCGACTTGAACTGACGCTGCGAGCTCAGGTTGTAGCCGTCGTTGTTACCCAGGTGGTTGTACGAGGCGATGGACAGGGGCTTGATACCGGCGTTGACGAGGAACTCGGCAAGCACGGACTTGACCTTGGTCTGACCGGTCTTGAGGTCGTCACCACCGATGAAGGCCTTGTGCTTCTCGGCGAGCTGGATGCATCCGGGCACAAAGGTGTTCTGGGGAGCACCGTTGACGTAAGGAGCGTTCTCAAGGATACAGGCGATGGCAAAGATGGTGGAGGGCGAGACCTCGTCGTGGTTCTGCTCGACCGACTTGAGCAGGTTGTCGGCAGTGTCGTTGACGCCGGGGAGGATCTCGGAGTAACGCTCGGTGTTGGCGGTCCAGACGACGATGACCTGGTCGAGGCTGTTCTGGCGCTTGAACTCGCGAATGTCGGCGCGGATCTGGTCGACGTGGGCAGCCTTGGACTGACCGGGAAGAGTGTTGTCGGCACGCTCCTCCTGGTTCTGGGCGATAAAGTCGGGGTAGTAGACGGAAGCGAGGGGCTTCATCTCGGCCATGTAAGGGGCGACCTGGCGCTGGAGGTCGTAGTCGAGCACCTTTGCGCGGGTCATGGCCTGGTCCATGGGGAGACCGGAGATGTCCCAACCACCGAGGACGAGGTCGTTGGGGTGGACCATGGGGAGGACGTTGGAGAAGGGGACCCAGACGTCCTTGCCCGTGGCAGGGTCGGTGCCGAGGCGGATGGTCGAGGCGCGAACGAGCGAGCCGTAGTAGTTGGGCACCTGGAGGCCGTCCTTGTTGTGCCAAGTGATGTTGTGCTTATTGGCGAGGATGGTGGCGGTGATGGTGGTACCGTTGTTACCACCCCAGCCGACCATCATGAGACCGGTGCGGGGGACCTTGCGCTCGGTCTTGAACTGGAACTGGCGCTGGATGGGGGTGGCGACGTACTCGGTGGTGCCATCGTCGTGATGAACCTTTTCGACGTGGGTGTTGAGGTACTCGTAGTCCGAGGTGATGTTGTCGGTGGTGTACTTGACCTTGTCCGAGTTGACGCGGATGAACTCGCGCTGTTCGTGACGAACGTTGGTAGGGTTGATGGGCACGTTGGCGCCGTTGCCGTTGGCAGCGTGGCCGTTGGCGGCATTGTTTCCGTTAGCGACAGGAGCCATCTTTGCGGATTGAGAGAGGAGAGAGTTCAAAAGAGGTTTTCGAGGATGAGATGGCTTTAATGCGCAGCTAGGTGAGCGGGGCTGGTGTGCTTAAGGCCCCGGTGAGAGTTGTGGGACGAGCAAAGCTGGTTGGAGAAAATGGTGGGCAACGTTGAAGGTGTGCAAGTCCTGTGGTTGAGACAATGACTTGCAGAGACGATCAGGTGTGGTTGTCTGGAAGAGATATCAAGTGTTACACGAGAGAGAATGTGTAGTATGATAGAGGAATAGGAAGGATCGACGCTTGTGAGGGTTCCGTCTTTATATCTCCAGGACGTAAGCGGGGCAGGAATCGGAACGTTTTCGCCTAGGCAGGGCAGCATTTGGGCACTGGATCAGCCAACCAGTCGCGTAACGATGGCCTTTGCCGGGGCATTTTGTTTGACGTGGATTGTCATTCCATTTTTCCAATTTCCCTCAATTTTCCGAGCAAAGGCAGGCACCGGAGCAGAGGAGCGCAGCGCGGATCCTCCATGGACAAAAAGTTGAAAGGACGAAGGAGCGAATGGCAGAGCATGTGGGAGTGATCTGCCTGGAGAGATTCGACAAAGCCGAGCCAGATTACAGCGGCTGCAGCAGCAGCAGCAAGGGGGCACACAGTTGTCGGCTCCTGAAACGCTGCCCACACGCAGGCACCGCGACCAACCTCAACCCCAAAAATGTGCATTCAGCATGGCACATCACAGCCTAAGTAGTCGGTTGAAGAACGTGAAATTCAGGCTCACCTCTTCGCCTACGGCCGTCAATGACCTCTTGACTTCTTCAGCCGCAGCCTCTCTCTTCGTACTCATCCTAATCCAGCCCTGCCCATCACGTCTGGCGGCAGCGTACGTCGAGTAAGAGTAACTATCAAGGACAACTGAAACGCTGTATCGGCTTGCAACTGAATAACCGGCCCGGCCTTGTATGTAGATCTAGCTTAATCGATCAAGGGCCAATGGGCGAAATGGATTGAGCGCGATGCAGAGACTGCGTGTGGCACACAAATGAAAGGCATCTTACTGTAGTCCGTGGACGAGCGAAGCGATCCGCACGCATGTTTTTGCTGCAAAGCGATTGCCGAGTCGCCCTTCTCCGCCTCCAATCACCTCGAAGCGGAGAAACAAATCCTCCAGATCGAGATCAAGATCGAGTTTTGCTTATCCTCGTACAGAACTCATTGACAAATTGGCAGCGCCATCGCTTGCCCGCTCGTATCGACACTGGTCATTGGATAGCAGACGCTACTATTATGAAATACGGTGTCTGTCGGAAAGCGCTTGGAATGCAATGAATGCTTGCGCTTCGCAGCGTCGTTAGGCTTTGAGTGTAAGCAGCGAGCTTCTTCGAAGAAAGCTTCCGCTGCATTTTGCAGCGTTTCGCGACCCATCGCCGGTCTCTCGACGTTCCGGAGCAGCCCATCCGAAATTTGCTTTGATTTGTTACGTCGAAACATTTTTCTGAGTCTCGAAATGAATGGCCGAGACAGACTCTTGGATTTACAGACGCGTGCCTGTTCCTTGCAGCGTGAAATTTCAATTTGAAATAACGCGCTGTTCAACACCGTCCAAGTGTCGATGTCAACACGCAACACAGGTTCTGCCAATGTCAGGAATATTAAATTGGAACGCTCTGTGCTCGTCGTTTCACAGAAGAATCGTCGATGCAGCTGGCTAAGGCTTCTTGGAGATTGAAGCTGGAGTAAAGCTAGGATAACACTGAAGAATAGTGTGATGGGAAGCGATACCGGCACAGTATGGGATGAGTTGAGCGACAGAACGAGGTGCTCAAGCTTCGAGGAACGTGCATGGGCTTGCATAAGGAAGGAACGCTGAGAACACCAACGTTCATGGTCGCACTGTTACGCTCTCGTTTGATTCCTCTGTTAGCATCACCGCCGGGCGTTTTTCTGCGGAACGTTCACGACAAACCTTGCCTTCCCGCCCCCTTTACTATGCTGTAGTTCAATCTTGATGTCCTCGGACAATGCCTCACTCTGTGAGGATCCAAGAGTCGACATCGAACATGTCCCATCGCATAACGAACCAGTGAGCGGGGTTCGACAGCTGCAGCGGGCTCGCCGATGGCGCTTCTTCTCTCATCTCTCTTCCTTTCAACTGTGTGAATCGAGCAGAGGTAAAAGACGGTGTTTTGTGGACACTTGTCGCGCTCTGGCCCGTCGCGCTGTGGAATATTCTTTTTTTTTGGACTCGTGTAGGGAGCGGCGGAGTGCATTGTTTTGCCTAGCCGGGTGGGTTCGTGTCTAGACACACAGCGAACCTATCAATCTGGACGTGGGCTGTCAAACGTGCAGTCCTTGCTTGCAAGGACAGGTACCATTCATAAGTGGTGGGACAAACAGAAGCGAGAGGGGCTTGTTTCAACGACGCAGGCCAGTGGCATGTGGCGTCAATGTGCTGTCGGTAACGATGTTCGCGGGAAAACATTCAGGGAGTCGACAAAGGCAAACAACCGTCGAACGTGTAAAGTCGGCAAATGCTCGTCGAATGCCTTTGACAGCCCCCTTTTCCTTCCTCGTGCCGTTTTGTGTCACAACCTGCACATTGCAGATCCCTGCGTCTGTGTTATTTGTTGTTTGCGATGCAATGCTGCGCCGTCCCGTCTGCTCCCTTCTCGTCGTGTGTACCTTGACGAGTCGTGGATACTGTGGCTTCTGTGGGTGCTGGATATATACCCCGCGCTTTGTCGAGATCGTCCTGTAGTTGACCCTCCATCGTGTTTCCCTCCCCTCAAGCTTTCCGTACCCCTCCCCTTTCTTCCCCCGTCTCCCCTTCCGCAAGACAGCCTTTCACTTTGCCGATCGCGGCGCTTGATCAAGACAGATCCACACTCTTTTCGCCTCTCCTTTCTGTCAGTTCGCCCAAGATGAAGTTCACCTCGCTCTTCGCAGGAGCCCTGTTGATGGGCTCCGCCTTCGCCGCCGTCAAAGGCGACCTCCCCTCCACCGAGACCGTCACCATCCCCATCACCACCGCCAACTCGCGCGGTGCTGCCGACGTCAAACCCAAGCTCATCGCCAATCTCGTCCTCGACAAGGTCAACGACGTCCTCACCACCTCCTCCATCCCCACACTCTCCAAGATCAAACGTCACCGACGCACCGCCACCGACCTCCTCGCTCGAGCTCTGCCGACGCTTCGTTGGCCGTACGACTCCACCACCCGCAAAGTCCGCGGTGTCTCCCTCGGCGGTTGGCTCGTGGTAGAGAACTTCATCACTCCTTCCATCTACGCTTCCACGGGGAACGACAACATCATCGACGAATGGACCTTCGGTGCCCTCCAATCCCGCGACCAGGCCGTGTCGATCCTTCAACCGCATCTGAACAACTTCGTCACGGAGGATGATATTCGTCAGATCGCAGCGGCGGGGTTGAACCATGTGAGGATCCCCATTGGGTATTGGGCGTTTGAAGTTTCGTCCGGAGAACCGTATTTGAAGCTCAACCAGTGGGATCTGCTCAAGCAGGCTGTCGGGTGGTGTGGAAAGTACGGATTGAAGGTGTTGGTGGATCTGCATGCTGCACCGGGCAATCAGAATGGTTTCGATCACGGTGGTCATCGTGGTGTCTCCACCTGGGCTTCCAATGCCACGAATGTTCAGCGTACGATCAACATCTTGCAGACCATGTCGAAGGAATTCTCCCAATCCAAGTACGCCAACTCGGTGACGGCGTTGGAATTGCTCAACGAACCCGTCACGGATAAGTCGGTTGTACTGGACTTCTACCAACGAGCCTACGAAGTCGTTCGTTACCCCAACGGCCGTTCCTCCCCCGCATCCCCCCTCCTCGTTGCCATCTCGGACGAATTCGTCTCCCCAGCATACTCAAACTACTGGGACGACAAACTCCGCCCTCCTACCTACGAAGCCGTCGCGATCGACACCCACATCTACACCATCTTTGACGACAAATCCCTCCGTCTCTCCTCCAAAGACCGCATCAACTACTACTGCTCGCTCAAATCCAAATGGACCTCGTCCAACAAGATCCACTGGCAACTGCTCGGAGAGTGGTCCCCCGCCTTCACCGACTGCGCCCAGGGTGTCAACGGTAGAGGCAGAGGAAGTCGCTACGACGGAAGCTTCAAGGGAAGTCAAGGTAAAATCAACAGCTGTGCGGGCAGGAGTGGAAGCGCAGCCACCTTCTCGCAGAACTACAAGAATCTACTGGGTAGGATGTGGGAGTCTCAGGTGGATGCCAACGAGGGTGGTGTCGGCTGGATGATGTGGACCTGGAAGACCGAGAGTGGCGCAGCGGAGGACTGGAGTTACCAGAAGGGCTTGCAGTACGGATGGATCCCCAAGGATCCAACCCAGAGACCTCAGGGTGTCAAGTGCTGATTTCGCATATCTCGTCTAGATGCTCATTGACCGAATCGGAACATTTGATCTGTACAACGAACGCGCCCGTGAACGTTCAAGGCCGGACTGTCTTGTTGCGATCACGCAGCTCACCCGCTCATGCTGCCAGACGAAATCCCGTTGTGATTCATCGAGGTTGCTCCAGTGAAACCCTTCGTTCAATGTGCGGGTATAAATTCTTGAGTGTTGAGCATCACCTACGACTGGCCAGCTGAAGTGTAGGGTTGACAGTTCGCCGCTGATTTACGAGCCAGCTTCGTCCTGGTCCATTCAGACCTGTCAACCCAGAAAGCGCCCGCACTCCACCAGCAGCAAACGACGACGACACCGACCTTGCTCCAGCGCCTCCTCCTACCACGCCTCCACCACCACCACCGCCGCTTGGATTGCGACCCGATTCCAGCTCCACCATGTAGCGTCGACCCAGTTCCTGGAATGCAGACATCATGAGCCGCTGTTCGCGCTCCAGGTTGCGAGCCTGATCGCGCAACGTCCTGTTCTCCCGCTCGAGCGTCTCGTTGCCTGTTTCGCTACGACCGTTAGTGCCATCGAGCACTCCTCCTGAGCCCGCGAGACTGCCTCCCACTGCGGCTGCGGCTGCAAGGCTTCGGTCCTTCTCCTTGATCATCTTGTCCTGCTGTTTGATGAACGTCTTGGCTTTGTTGAAGCGTTCCTGTAGTGCTTTGAGATCGCGCGTCGTGCCGAGCGCTTCGCTCTGCAGGCTAGCCACCATATCCTCCACTTCCTTGGGGAGACCTTTACCCTTGAGCCTCGTCCGCAATTCTCCTAGCGTGCGTTCGCGCTTGAGTGCCTCGTCGCGCTGTCCGATACCATCTGCTTGCAGATCGACCTTTTCCATGAGCAGCGAATTGACTTGCGCCATGTACATGCGATTCTGCTCGCTAACCGACGCGACTTCAGTTTTGAGCTTCTTGACGTTCGCTTCCAATTCGTCCTTGTCGACATCCATGGATGCACGAAGCGAATGGAGGATGTCCACTTGATCCTTGTTGACCAGGCTCAGGTCCGACTTGGCTATTGTCAGCTCGCGTGCCACCTCCTCATTTTCGACCTCCAGTTGGGTCGCGCGCCGCTTGGCCTCGTCCAGCTCATCGACCACTTGATTGAGTCGCAAGCGCAATGCGTACGCTGCCTCTGTCCCATCGCCGAGGTCCGACTTGCCGCTGCGAATGGCTTCGAGTTGGTTCTGCAGTACCATTTTGTCGCGATGTTCTCGCAGGTAGTCTGCTTCGTATCGTGTCTTCATACGCTGTGCATCTTCGAGCAGGTTTTCGAGCACGATGAGGCGCGAGTGATCTGCCTTGTTGGTTTTGGCTGCTTCGAGCTCGCGGGAAAGCTTGCGGAGCTTGATCTTGAGATCGGCCGTGGTTGTACCGCTGAGCGCGTCCTCGAGCTCGCCTGATCGGTCCTGGGGCTCATCATCCTCGTCGAGCCCGTCGGCGTCTTCCGCGCTGGCTCGGCTGGCGTCTGCTGCGACGAGACCGTCTATGCCATTCGCAGAGACATTCGACGCACGGCTCACGAGTGGCTTGCGCTTGGTGACGGCTGCATCACCGCCAAATTCGAGTTCCTTGATGCGCTCCTGGTACAGCTCCATCTCCTCCTTTGCAGAGGCACGCTGGTCTTCGGAAGCCTTGAGTCGGGAGAGGATCTGCTCTTGCTCGTATTTGGAGGCGGCCAGATCGCGGCGAAGATTGGAGGAGGTGGATTCCAGGTCGGCAATCTGCGACTTGTACGAATCCATGAGAGGCTTGAAGGCCGAGACACGCTTATAGTCGTCCTCGAGCTTGGCGTTGCGATCGACGAGCTCGGCGTTTTGGTCTTCGAACGCCTTAAGCTGACGTCGAATGTCGGCGCCTTCTTCGAGCTTCTTTTTGTACTTTTCGATGGCATTCTCTGCCTTCTGGAGTCGATCTGCTGCGTGCCTGTGTTCTTCGAGCTGATCCTTGAGCTTGACTGATTCTTCGGCGCTCTTTTGCAGCTCGTCAATCTTGCGCTTGGACTCTTGGGCAGTCTGGAGAAGCTTCTCGTTGTCGGTCTCGAGCTCGGCCAGGGCATCCTCGCTCCGCCGCAGATCGCTTTTGAGCCTGTCGATTTCTTGGCGCATGAGCACGTCTGCCTGTTCATTACGCGAGTTCTCGAGATTCTTTTTGTGCTCCTCGTGCATTGTTGCGAGCTGGTCTTTTTCCGTTTGCAAGTCTTGAAACTTGTTCTGTAGTTCTCGATGAGCTTGGAGCAAGAGCAGATAAGACTTGTCGACGTCTCCCTTTTGGAGCTCGATCGCTTCGAGCTCGTTTGCGAGCTGGACAGCCGTCTTGCCCTGGTGCTTTGGATCGACTTGGTCTGCGTCGCCATTGGGAGCGGAAGAAGCGACGGAGTCGTCTGCAGTGGAAGCCGTTTGGTACTCCTCTTGACCTTGGCTGATGAAGGACATGATACGCTCTATGGACATCATGAGCTGGTGCTGATGTGCCTGATCAAGCGTTTGAATAGCGGCGATGTGAGTCTCGTTCTTGTCGCTGCGGACGGCGATGCCGATGGCGAGGAGGCAGAGTTTGGCGAGCTCTTGTGGATCGGCAGAGCGTGCGATGGCATTGAGGTCGGGAGATGGCAAGGCAGTGGGTGCACATTGGAGGCTTTGAGAGTAGTACTGCATCATAAGCTTGTAAAGACGTTTGAGAGTGCCAATAGTGAGCACCCAGTTGTCTTTTGTGTCGCCTGCATGTGGATTGCGGAAAAGGTCGGGATCAATGTCGGAGAGGATGTGGAAGAGGGCGACACCATCTGAGAGATCGCTCGGCTTCTGGACTGCATGGTCTACATCGGGAATGTCCTCGAGCACGGCGTTGGCCCAGGCCAAGAATGCGTCGATCTCGGCATCTGGTGAAGACGAAGCCTGGTCGGCTACGGGAGAGCCTTGCGGGGTGGCTAGCGGTGGTATCGCCGGATCGTTGGTGTCTGACATGATGGCGGTGATGCTATCGGTCCAGCCTGGATGGCGGTGGATGAGATGTGGTAGTCTATTCCATGGCCCTTGTTGTGCGGAGGGAAGAATTGTGCTTGGCTGAGTTGGAGGATGAGAGGATGTGACGTTGACCAAGCCCGAAAGTGGAGTGAATCCGGACACGCGTGACGCCCAAAGAGTCGATTCGTGTTGGTCTCGCAGTTGTGCGTGCCGTTGCTTTCAAAGGTCGCGGTGTGCTGTGGCATATTTTGTTCCATCACGTGAAATCGCTAGGATAGGCGGCAACCAAATTATTGCTGCAGCTGCACAGTCGCAAGTCGCGTGCCATCGGTACACAGACCAGCAGCGGCAGAAGCAAGCAGTGTGACGATGTCCGAGTTCCAGCCCCTTTTTCCTTCCATCGTCTTTCCTTCTCGGCATTTTGACCACCACAACACCTCACCAGCAGCATCCAATACATCAAGACCCAAGCCATCAGCCGATACTGCAAACACGAAAGCTCAACACCGGCCCAGTCAAACTCGTTGCCAAAAGCCGGCGGTCGCCATCCGTGGCCGAGCTGACTCAGAGGTCGTCTGCGAGCCACAGACAATCGCAGTAGTAGTAGCATCATTCTGTCCTTGTCCGCCTGCTTCCGCGGCGCGTCCATCCGATCATGACCATGATGGACGGCGATGACATGCAGAGACTCTGGTCTCTCATCGAGGACCTCACAAACCAGCTACAGGCGAATCGGCAGCTCTGCGAATCTTTGCAACAGCAGGCTGATCAGCTACGTGGTCAAGCAATCCACTCGGGCACCGGCTTTGCGCTACGCAGATTCAACATCGACCTTTCCAAGGAAAAGTTCGAGTCCGAGCTCGAGGCACTCAATGCACATCTCGTCAAAGAGAACCTCGGTCTCTCTCACGAGAACAAGCAGCAGGCCGTGCTTCTCCGAGAATACGAGAATACGCTCGAGACCGTCATGGCCAAGTTCCGCAGCTTCTCTCACTCCACACAGCAGCACACCTTGCAACTTACGCAGCACTATGAATTGCTCCTCGCGCAGACCACACATAACGCGGCAGAACAGACGCTCGCCGCAGAGACAGCCTTCAGCGGCACTCTCTCGCATCTCGGTGGCCTGGTCAGGAGGGCCATGCAGTCATTGGACGGCGAGGCCAGCGACGAATCCGAGGCTGAAGGGCACGACGGTGCTGCACCACAACGGACGAAGCGCGGCTGGGTGCAAGATCCAAAATGGTACGGATCGGGTGGGTATACTGGCAAGACGACGGATCCGATCGCATTGCGAGCAGAAGAAGCGCTCGAGGTTCTTACCGAGGAAGAAAGGCTCCGCATGGAGAACGACACCCTGCGCGAATTACTCGGTCTCAAGGAGAAGAGCGACGCCTTGATCTCCTCAGCGGCGGGGGTCATCGATGCATCCCAACCTGGCTCGACAGATATTTCTGCACCCAAACCCATGTCGCCAGCAGAGCGGCGCGCATCCCTCACCGTAGACGAAGCCGCCATCGCAGCAGAGGCAAGCGGACAGCCACCCCTCAAGGCGCTCTTGATATCTTCCACAACCAGACCCGGCGAGGAGAACCTCGAGACCAAACCACTGTCACCTGCCCGCATCTCACCCAGGATTGTACCCACGCTGGATCGCAAAGACCAGATCATCGAGGAAGCCATCCTTGCAGACGACGAGAACGAATCCGACCGCGGTCGCAAAGCATCCGACTCGAGTCCATCGATGGCTGCTGACATTGCATCCTTCCGCAACGAGCCTTCGACACCTTCGGCCACCGCTTCCTTGCCTCTGGTCTTTGCAGTTGACGATGCCGAGACCGCTCCCTCTTCCATCGAGGAGCTGCGTGCTGCCGCGACGCAGTCAGAAGAAGCATCTCAACTGCACGCTCAAGCGCCGAGTGCATCCGGAAGCGGCGATGTTGGTGCTACCTCAGACGCTGACGAGATTACACCCATCGACGAAGTAGCAGTCGCGCCACCAACATCGGCAGAACCAAGTTCAAGCGCGGAACCAAATCTACTAGCTGAAGCAGCGCCTCCAGCGCTAGTCTCGACGGGCATCGAAGAAGGCGACGCCACATCTTCCAAGACGACCGTCACCTCTGCGTCAGGCATCGATGTGACCGAAACCGCAACAGCAGCAGAGCCCGCTGGGACGTCCTCTCCTGTCATCAGCAGCCCTGCTACATCTTGTTCGTCCGAAACGTCGACCTCATCCGACGGCACTAGTTTATCCTCGAGCTCTGTTTCGGCGGAGGAAGCGGTCGTCAAGGATTCAGAAATCGCTAGCAAGCCAAAGGATGCTGCTCCACCAGCAGAAAGCGCAGAAGGGGACTTCCAACCCATTCCTGCCACCTCGGCAGCGAGCTCCGCCTCCGATGCAGCCGAAATCGAGTCGAAGGAAACCGTTATCCCCGCTGAACCCGCCAAGGCGGACAACACCGCTGTCTCTCCCCCCGCCGCAGTCGACACCCAGCCCTCAGCTGATCCGACTGAGCCCAAAGCAAACGCAAGCACACCCGCGGCGCTCCCCACCGCAGCGAGCGACGACAGCAAAGTTGCGCCGGTCAAGAACACACCCAGCACACCAGTCCAGACCACCAATCAGCAGGGCAAGAAGGACGGCACGGCGTCTCCTAACAAAAAGGGAGGCAGGGGTCATCGTGGCAAGGGGAATCGACACAAGTCGCACTTCAACGCCTCGAATAAGAACTCATCGTGATGTGGTTTGGAGCTGCAAACACTATTGTTCAATCGAGAGCGTTTTGTGAGTTTGAAGCGAGCATGAGTGTGTATGGAGTGTGAGGTGCATGTACGTGTGTTGAGATGATGGAGTTGCATGGTTTGAGGTGAGTGTGGTAGAAGTGTGAATTGTGGAATTCCGGGTGGATTTTGCGCACGAGCCGGATTTTGCGTTTGCTGCACCACGATTCACAACCACCATCCTTCGACACACCATCTGGACGTACCTGTTGTGCATTCACCACGATCAACATTACCTCAAGTTCTCTCCCGCATCGCTGCTCTACCGTCACTACCTTTCGGCACAGCTCACGACTGTATTCGCGCTGGGAATTCGGGGCAAAGATGGCGACGACACCTCGCGCAACCCAACGCTTCTCGGTGCAGACCAATGCAAGTTCCTCGTCTACCTCGTCACACCTGTCCGCACAGCACGCAGCAATGCCAGACCCGGGATCAGCAGCCTCCTACTCGTTCGCATCTGGTTCTGACAGTTTACCGCCGGCGTTTTCGTCGCGTCGAACGTCAACGAGTGTGCTTTCGAGTTCTGCTTCTTCGTCGCATCAAACCGCGCTGTTTTCCAACCCAACGGGGGTGAATAGAAACACCTTTCCGACGACATCTAGGAATGCTTCTGCGACCAGTGTGGGGGGTGGTTCGAGTTTTGCCGGAAGGATCGCGTCCTTCACATCGTCCGGCGTTGATGAGGGGAATACGTCGTACACCTCTAGCATCAACACCCTTGCTCGCGGGCCGGATATCCTCGAACGACCTAGGGATAAACTTCGATCCTCCGAAATTAACCTCTCCTCCCTCTCCTTCCTCTTCTCCGAAATCGTTTCCTACACGCAGAATCGAGTGACGGGAATCACGGAACTCGAGAAAAGACTTTCCCTCATAGGCTATGCGATCGGACAACGAGTGCTCTCCCTAACGCTGCACAGGCAGGAGATGACGTCCAACCCGAAGAATCCGCGCAGAGAAACGCGTTTGCTCCCCGTACTGCTATGGATCCACACGGGGTTTTGGAAAGCCGCCTTTGGAAAACCCGCCGATAGTCTAGAGAGGAGTACGGAAGAGGGAAGAGGGGATGAGTACATGATCAGCACCAACGCACCGGTGTTTGGGAGGTTGATCGAGGTACCGAGGGATATGAGCTCGTTGAGCGTCGAGGCGATTACGGCAGGGATGGTGGAGGCGGCATTGGACGGGTTGGGTTTCGCGGCGAGGGTGACGGCGCACAGTGTGGGGACGAAGGAGTGGCCGGGGAGGACAACGATCTTGATCAAGCTCGATAGAAGCGTCATGGAGAGGGAGGAGGCATTGGCTTCTGCTTGAAACACACGAAAACAAGATCACGCAGCATAGAGCACGGACAAGGATGTCTTTGAACAAGTGTTATAATTGGGCAGGATTGCTCACTCGTTCTTTCTCGGTTCAACATACCATTTCGCCTGAACAAACCTTCTCTGCATATTCACCTCGCTTCTTCTATTCACCGCTGTCCTCCTCAACGTCTCCACCTCCCCCTCCAACCCGACTTTGCTCGCCAACTTCCTCAATTCTTCCTCCTGGAAAAAGTAGTTGAACGTGTTATCTCCTCGTCTATACCAATGATGATCATCGGAGAGCAGACTAGGTTCGGCCCAGGCGGCGTCCTTTTTGGTGTGGTAACGGACTTGGGAGAGGTCACCGTATGCGTAGTCTCTGAACAAAATGTGACCTCCGTGCGGGAGGAGGATGTCGCGGAGGGTGGAGAGGACGTGAGCGTGGAGCGTGGGGGGTATGGCGGACAGCACAAAGATGAGGCTGATCGTGGTGGGATTTGGCCAGGATGGTTGGGAGGAGAGGAAGGAGGAGAGCGAGGGTGAGGGTGGTGTGGAGGTGAGGTCGTAGACGAAAGCGTTGACTCGTTCGGGGTCGTACAGCGGATGTTTCTTCACCATGTCGACTGCACGTGCCGAAAAGTCGCAGCAGTGCACTTTGAGCGAAGCATTGCCTTCCAGCAGCGGATACAGCATGTTTCCCACTCCACAACCCACTTCTAACAACACGCTTTCGGCATCGCCTTGAAGATCCTCCCCGACCATCCTCGTCTCTTCCTCCCGATCCTCCTCCGTCGCCGCTGCTTTGCATTTGCCTGCAGAAGAAGAACCAGCGGATGCGAGCTCAGACCCGAACTCGCGATTGGTCCAGTGTCGATCTTTGAAGAACTTGTCCTGGTGGTTCTTGTAGAACTTGTCCCAGTTCTTGGCTGCTTCGGACGAGTGTTTGTGGACGACGAACGTGGTTGCGGAGCGACGGTTCTGTGCGAGGATGGACGAGATGGAGGTTTCCACCTCGGGTTGGATGGGGAGCGATTCGTGCGGCGCTGGTGCGGAGGGTGGGTCCGACATTGTGATGGGGTTATGAGAGGACTGAAAGGTCAGTTAGGTAGTGGTAGTGTAGAGAGAGAGGGGGGGGAAGAAGAAGAAGAAGAAGTTGTCGGCAAATTTTATTGATTTCAGCCTCGAGAGAAAAAATCTCGGTAGACCCGAGATGCACTGCCAAAAAAGGGTCCTTTCCGTGTGGAGAAGAACGCCGCATACGACTCGACACGACACAGCGCGCTAGTATCAACGACGGACTCTAGTCCAGCACGCGATGAGCGCAAGCGACCGATGGAGCAGGACTGACCATCCACAGCCTTGCACAAGAACAGTTCTCACACTACTCCACGCAGAACTATATGTTGCGATCAAAAATGTTCCACTACACTCAACCTCTGCTTTCCTATTTACACAGCTCACCCTCCCACTCTTCGCCACTCCCCTTGACTAACCTTTGGCGCCCAAAGTACTCGCCAACCAATCCAACCCCTCGGTCAACCCTTTGCCCGTCAACGCCGAGCACCCAAAGATCTGCCACGTCCTCTCCCTGAACACCGTCAAGGCCAGACTCTCCGAGATCTCCGCCGGCGTCATAGCTCCTTTAATATCCTGCTTGTTCGCCCACAGCAGTATGGGAGCTTTGGTGACCTGTTCGTCCTGCGCGATGCGGTGGAGTTCTTCGCGTGCGAGGTGGACGCGTTCGCGGTCGTTGCTATCCAAAACAAAGATGACGGCATCGGTGGAGGAGAGGTAGGAGGACCAGGAGGTGCGGAGTGACGTTTGACCGCCGACGTCCCACAGCATGAATTTGAGGTTTTTGTATTCGAATTGTTCTATGATGAGGTAGAGGAGATGGGGTCAGTCGGGGGAGATGAATGAGATGAAGCAGTGAAAGGTAACGCACCTGTGTTGGATCCTACTGTCGGTGCGGTGGACACGACCGAGCCAAGGGTCATCTTGTACATGAGCGTTGTCTTGCCTGCATTGTCCAGTCTGTGGAGCCGCAATACGATGCAGACGAAAGAGTCGGAGAAAGTCACTGTCAGTGATCAAAGCGCCCGCAATAATGAAGAGGATGACGCTGCTTACCCTAGAATGCAGATCTTGAGCTCTTTGGACCCAAAGAGTGAGGACCACAACGAGCTAAACGCTACGCCCATGGCTATGATGTGATTACCGGCTTTGCACTGTGTTACTCCTCTCGACCGTTACTGTACTGATGCGGAGAGTGCAGTCGCTTTCGATGAGGTGGTGGTGTTTGATGGTGGTATCGTCGAAAAGCGGGGGTATGGTGGTGGTGCGCGACAAGAAGAAAGTTGTCGAAAGCTGCACGCGTTAATGCAGCCGGCTGGACTGTGCGCGCGTGTGCTGTGTTTGTTTCAGGGTCCAACACCAAACTTTCTCTTCTTCCACCAACTTTACGAAAAGCATGGCTCAACGTGATCCGACCTCATCGAGGCTTCCCCACACCGAAGCTCCTTCAATACAGCATCAGCCCACCTCCAACAATAACGATGGCCAGCGCATATCGATTGGTGCAAAGAATCTTGCGCTAGCCCAGACTCGAATGCTCAAACTGTCGCTTGTCGTCCGGCTCGCATCGATCGCACTCCTTGTCATAGCTGCTCACCTCCAACAAGCGTTCGATACATCGCACGAGCTGCTATCCTTCTCGCTTGATCCACAGACATCGCACGGTCTGTCTGCGGGAAGCTTCAAGTGGTTGCTCGCATTTGTGCGCTGGGATACGATCTACTTTGTCGCGTCTGCATCTCCACCCTCCTCCATCACCGCCGGGGTACATCAGGGGGGTTATGCAACGGAACGATCGCTAGCGTTTCAGCCAGGAATCGTTGGGCTCCTCCGCATAGCCGGATATGTGACACCCAGCTTGGATGGGACTTGGAGCCCGACAGCGGCGATTCTGGTGACTACGGTGTTGGCGAATGCAGCGGCGGTGGTGAGCCCAGTGTTGCTGTATCGGCTTTCATTGAAGGTGACGAGGGATGCGGAGTTGGCGTATACAGCGGCACTTTTGAGCGTTTTCGCTCCGTCGGCAGGGACGATGTTGACTTCGCCGACACCGGAGAGCTTCTACAGCGTTGCGAGTCTTTTGGGTATGCTGTCTCTCGAAACCACCAACACCAGACGCAGGGTAGGGTGGATTCAGGTTGCTTCAGCCTCGTTCTTCTTTGCACTCGCAACGAGTTTCCGCGCCAATGGGACGCTGCTCGTCGGGTATCTCGCATTCAGACTCATCGGAGAGGCAAGATCGAGTAGACCGGTAACGGCGGCTCTGAAACTGGCACTCTCGACGATCATCACCATCTTCCCCAATGTCCTATTCCAGACATGGGCGTACGGTCGATTCTGTCTATGGGGAGGGGAACCAAGACCATGGTGTGAAGATCGACTGCCGAGCATCTACGCCTTTGTGCAATCGCACTATTGGAATGTAGGATTTTTGCGGTACTGGGAGGTCTCGCAGCTGCCCAACTTTGCACTCGCTGCGCCGGTTCTCGCCACGATAGCGTACACGGTGTACACGTTCTATCGACACTCTAGCTGGGCTCAGATCCTCTATTCGGTGGCACCAGCTCCTTGGTCCAATCCCAACCCTACCGCAACAAACTATGTCGGCGGTCTATCGCTGTCCACATCTCCCGCCGCAACTCCGTACATCATGCACGCACTCGCGCTAGGCCTCATCCTGACATTCGCATCGCACGTGCAGATCGCTCTGCGGCTAGCGACGCCCGGAGGCATGCCGGCCATCTGGTGGGGTGCAGCACATGTGGTTCTGTACGGCGGGAGGAGCAGATGGAGGAGGAAGGTGGTGGTGGGGTATCTGAGCGTGCAGGTGTGTGTGGGGATCGTGTTGTACGGTGGATTCTATCCACCTGCGTAGAAGGGAATTTTTGATTGGGGAAAGGGGGGTAAAGACGGAAATGCCGGGTTGGTGGTGCTGGTCGAGATGCATGCACGGAGAGTTCCGATCCGCACTCACAGCGAAAGGGTTCTTCTTGGTGACACCCTTCCAAACATCGTCTTTTTGGTTTTGTTTTGATCTGCTGATGCTCAACATCACCAGATTGGGCACATGCCTTCCACCCATGCTCTGGTCTTGCCACATTTCCGAGACAATGTACCTGTAGCACTTTATACCACCTGTCTGTGCGAGTGTGGAGAAAAGTGGCAAAATGCCAGCTAATTTTAGAGTAGTGTTGTTAGCGTGGTTGCGTGCAGATGTGGGTACGTCACTGGGTGTGCGGAGAAGCTTTTTTCGATTGCTTGCCCCGCTTCCATCCGAGGGCTCCGAGCCGGGTAGCGGAGAGAGAGAGACACGAGCCCGGCGTGTTCTGCTTCGGCAATCTGCGCCTCCTCTTGTTTCCTCCCTCATCTCCACGAACCATCTCCTCCGTTTCCGACATCGACTCTTGTTTCCCGTTCATCACTTTGGGCGTAGAATTCCTTGCATCATGTCACAGCAGCTCAAAACGCAACTCCAGCACGCAGGGGTCGAAGAAGACACAGCCTACTACATCGGACGCTACACCGTCTCGGGTCTTCAATACGGTTGTTTGCTCGGCACTCCGCTCTACCTGGTTCAAACGCTTCGTGGTCGGGGGTTCACCCTTCGAGGTCTGGCACGCTACAACTGGCTCACTCCTCTCGCGGGAGCAGGAATCGGCAGCGTCGCAGGTTACGCCACCGCAAGCCAACTCGATCACCCTTCCCTAACCGCAAAAACCAGCGGTCTCAGGTTGGACGCCAGCAGGGTGAGGCAGGACGACCTGCATCTGATCGGAAGCGTCGTCGGTGCACTGGTGTTGCCGGCGGTGCTGCTCGGGAAGGTCGGGCTGATCAATGGGTTGATGGGAGGGGCGGGGTTGGGCGGTGCCGTAGGGTTGGTCACGGATAGGGTGCAGAAGTGGGGCAAGAACGGCGCGCCGGATGTGGGTAGGATCGAGCAGGAGGCAAAGGATGCGTGGACCAAGGCCAAGGGTGAGGCTAAGGAAGTCAAGCAGCAGGTGGAGAGCAGGTTGTGAAGTGGCTCAGATCTGACGTCGACTTTGGAGAGCCGAGGAGGATCAAGAGAAAAGAAAATGTGGTGCGGTGCTTGCTGCTACGAACGAGCTGTTTGACCTATCAAGCAACGAAGGGACAGTGTAGTCGAGCAGTCACCCTAGGTCGACCATCTTCAAAGCGTCGACGACGAGCTATCTCTCTGTCACGCACCAGAGCCCTCGTCACAAACCCTGTCCAAACCTCACACACGCACACCCCTCGACCGCAAACGTCGTACACCCAGCAGCACGTACCTGCCTCGCTCAGCAATACCAGCCACAAATACCATAGTCTCCTGTCTTCCTGCAGATTGTGTGCTTAGTCACATCTGTCCAACAATCCTCAGCTCACACACAGCCGATCCCTGAGGAAGCCATTTTCACACTTCTAGTGTCTTTTTAAAACCTTCTTCTGTTCATGCGTGGTATTACATCTTGCAAATCACATCAACTCTGACGCATAGGACCGGTGAAACCGTTCGTATCCGCACTTCCACCTCTTTGGCCTCTTCCCCTACCCCTACCACCTCTTCCCCTACCCCTTCCGCCCCTTCCTCCTCCACCTGCGGACGCACCCGTATCACCAAACGTCTGCATGTTCTTCATCTCCTCCGCCATCCTTCCCGCTCTACCCCTTCCCCTGCCTCCGCCGCCCCTACCACCCCTTCCACCCCTGCCACCAGGCACATCGAAGAACCCACCATCACCCTGCTCCACCCCTCCTCTCGGCTGGTCGTTCCGCTCGTACCTCTCCTTGACCTCGCTCGAGATGTTATCGAAGAATCCACTCTTATCGTAGAACTCCTTCTCGCCCGCCGGAGGGATCGAATCCAACAACCCAGCACCTGAATTCGAAGCATCCCCATTCGTCGCCCCTTCTCCCGCCTCGCTGTGCTTCTGAAACTTGGCATTGGCAGATTCAAAGTCGAACTCCTTGTTCGGCATGCTAGGTCCTCCCACATCCCTCTGCGCCCTACCTTCGCGTGCTGCACTTCCCCGGACACCACCGTTGCCGTTGCTCGCGTGCGGCGGACGCTGTGCCGCCGCAGCCTTGGCGGCCGCAGCTGCAGCGTGGGGGATGGCAGGAAGTCCCGGTACCGCAGAAGGAAGCGTCGAGGGCGATGTGGTTGCTTGCGATGTGGAGGCTGGCTTGGAGACGCTCAGTTTGGACATTTCTTCCAGCACCTTGTCCGCGCTCGACTTTTCAACTGGTTGAGCTGGCGAGGCCCCAGATGGTGATGTCGAAGGTTTGGTTGCGGCGGGCGAAGCGGATTTATTTTGAGAGCGAGCTGCTGACGATTGCTGTGGGCCGTTGTTGAACTGAGCAGGGGGACCGGTGGAGGCAGGTGCGCCGGGGAAAGGCGCACCTCCAAACGATGCCGGTGGAGGTGGCATCACACCGTAGCGGCCACCTGCGCCAGGACCCTGTGCGGAAGACTGATGACAGCAACGAGAATCAACAACGGTGTCAGTAAAGAAGCACAACAACGCCGAATTTTCCACCTCTTGCAAAAGAGCAGCCTCCAAAGGTGTTCTCGAGAAGAGGCCTCGTAGATCAGTAGGAAGGCAACGGAAACATCCACATGGTTTTGCGCTCTCGGACAAATGACAAGTTCCCCCGAAGGAGAACAGTTTTACATCCGTAAATGGTTCATCACAGTAGAGAAAAGCCTTTCTTCTCCAAAACACCTTCGGAGCCGCTCTTTTGCTAGCAGCATCTCTATATACTCACGCCGAGGATAGCCGGGTCGTTGAGAGCAGGTTGCGGCGGTGCAGGCTGCTGCTTGGGTGGGTTCGGATCGTCGATCTTGAGATCCTTGACGTCGGCAGCACGGAACATGATGTAGTCGTACACATGGTCGCTAGGTGGGATCTCTTCTTGCGGTCGTCCCTGCGCAGCGACTCGACCTTCGGTGCCCCACGATCGCACCTTTTCGAGCGCGATGGTCGCTTCGTTCGGATTGATCGAGGCGAGAAGTCCCTGGTACCTGATGTCGGACTTGGAGACGAGCGAGATGAGCGCTCCGATGTACTCTGCGGTAGCCATTGTGGGCGTCGTTGGATATCAGGAGATGATGTGATGGGAGTCTGTTGATATAAAGTCGATTCTGGAGTGAATTCGAGCACGAAACGGATGCAGAAAGCAATTGGATGTCTGAGAAACAGGTGCTGGCGAAAACGTTTTCGAGTTGTGACGGTCCTGAACGTGGATCGAAAGGACGAGACTGATGAGGCTGGGACTGATAGACGTTGCAAAAGGTGCACAGCGGCGAAGTGTTTGAGACTGAACCTGTTACGCAGGTAGTTGAAATGGATGACGGAAAGGGACTAGAAGACTAGAAGATGTATGTTGTCGTTGTACTGCGGCGAGTGAGCAAAGAAGTAGGTTGGGAAGATGTATAGGAACAGATGACGTGGACAACGGCGAAGCGTATAACGAGGGAAGTGACAAATGATGAAGAAGGAAAGCGGACATGGCCTCTGCGCAAGTATCCGTCTCCTTTCCTCGAGTTGTCGGGCTCAGAAATATTCCACACTCTTCCGCACACAGCGCCTCTCAACAGAACAGGAAAATTGCAGCACAGCAGCGCAGTGATCGGGGCGGAGAAAATTACATTACGTAAGCGCTCCGTGGATCGTTTTGACAGACTCGCTCATGTGGGAACACCGTTGCAATGGCCAGAACCACACCTCAACACTTCAGCGTCAGAGCAACTCTCGATAGCATCGAGGAAACACAGGATGGCACAAATACAATAAGATTCATACAATGCGGAAGAGTGGTTTGGGCGGGCAAGTGCGAACAAGTGCAAGATCCAGAGCAGAGATGCGGCCTACTTGATACATCCAAGCGTTGCAAGAGATGGCAGCATGTCTCCAACTTCACCATCGATGGCGCTCGTTCCCGCATCCACCCAACCTCCCGAACACCTTACTCAACGCTCCGCTCTACGAAAGGTAGTGGGACAAATTCAACTGACCTCCCTCTCCATAGTGGTTCGAGAACTCTGCCAACGCCTCTGCAGTCTTTTGCGGATCCTCGCCCCACTCGCTCCCACCGTACCAGCCTTGGTTCTGGTTCATGACCGGCGTCAAGGCCTCGTCGGTGCTACCGTTGCTGCTGGCAGCCGGGATGCCGCCGATGCTTGCACCTGCGCCTCCGTATCCGGCACGCATCAGAGGCGAGTTGCGAGCACTCGGCGCCAAAAAGTCGTACATGCCCGAAGCGTGTGGAACATAGGGCGATGAAGCTGCCACAAGAGCACGTGGAGTCGAGCCGCCGTTCGCCGAAGCGCTGGGTTGCAGAGGCTGTGACGGTGCCACACGCCCGCCATTGCGCAGCTGCGAATCCGATGCCGCCTCATCATCGTTGCGCGTATTAGCCTGGTGGTAGAGGTAGTCGAGCGTATGGTTGCGCAGATGCGCTTGCTGCGGAGCGTAGAAGCCGTTCTTGTGCAAATCGTGCTGCAGCGGCAGGTCGAGCGGAGCAGCCGCGTACCAGTTGACCTGTCCGCCAGGCTGATCCGCAAACAGATCTCGCGTCTCTTGCGGGAGCGCGGCGTAGAAGCCTTCGCCGCGCTGCGAGCGCACGAGGTCGACAACGCTCACTGTCGGTTGCTGCTGCTGCTCAGCCGCAGCCTCCTCTCTTGCCTGCTGAGCCAAGTCAGACGAAGCCACCTTGTCAATACCTGCCGAAGCTACACCAGCAGCGACAGCAGCATTGCGAAGCTCCGAAAGCAGGTTGACGTCGACGCCACCGAGTTGATCGCTGACCTGTGCCATATCGAGCGAGGCGGCTTGTGGTGTAGAAAGCAGCTGTTGCAGACGCAGGTACTGGTCCGGAGTGATGCGCGCAGCCACGAGCGAAGCCAGGCGCGTGAAGGCTTCATTGGCGTTTTGCCCACTTGCAGCCGCGTCCGATCCACGCCCCTTCTTTTTCGGCCGGAACTCGTCGGGAGCATCCTGGAAGAGGTCGGGGAACTCGGCGACTTCGCCACTCGCAGCATCTTCGTCGCGCAGAGCACCTGGACCAGGCACACCGCGAAGGAAAGGCGACTCCTCCTTGGGCGGAGGCGAGATTGCCTTGTCGAAAAAGTTCATGGGCGTCTCCACCTTGCGGATCTCTTCGGGCACACAGCTAGCCCAGCTCTTAATCTTGTGAAACACGCGCTGCTGCTCGTTGTACCTCGACTCGGTGACGTAGAGCGGGCTGCGTGGGTCCCAGTACTCCGGCTTGGGTCGACCGCGAATGTACTTGGTGTAGAACATGACCATGATCTTTTCCAGAATGTCCTCGATGTGGTGGTCAGCGAAATAGCCAGTCTTGACCACCTCGTCCTGGAAAAACTTCTTGGATGCCGGATGGAAGGTCTGCTCAGGACGGTAGTACCAGCAGACGGTGACCCAACCTTGGTTCGGGTCGTCATCTTCTCGACGCAGCACTTTGAAGATCTGGGCTACGATGGGCTTGGTCGGGTCCGAAGGGTTGATGAGATGGATCCAGTCTCCCACGCGGAAAGCCTTGCCTTTGAGATTGAGGTGTTCGTAGTATGTCTTAGACTTGCTGCTGATGCGGGTGGTGAGGTCGCCGTGAGAGCCTGCGCTCGCGTAGAGCGGACCGTGAGGGATCGAGGAAAAGTGTCGGGTTGCATCGGCTCGTGCTGCAGCTGCGAGCACTGCCTCGGCGGTGATGGGCTCCTGCTTGGACGGATCCGCCCTGGTAAGCTCGTGGTAGAGCCGTTGCAACACGACAGCGTCGCCGTACATCTGGGTGCCGATGGGGTGCAGCCTGCGAGCATTCTCGAACAGCTGGAGCATGTCCATCTCAAAGTCGGTCGCTTTGTGGTACTCGCCCTCCTGAATGCGTTGCGAGATGGCAGAGAGCGATGTTGGTTTCTCGACCTTTTCGTAGAACTCAGGATCAACCTCGGGATCGGGACATTCTTCCAGCAACTCGGCGGGTCTGCGTCCCGATGCATCGACGTGGCTGCGGATGCAATCGACAACAGCAGAGTAGACCCGTTGCGCCTGAAGAGCATCTGTTGGCTCGGTCATCCAGCCGGCATCGTGTGGCTCGGGCAGCTTGAGCTCGGGCTCGTTGGTGTCGGCTTTGCGTCGTGTACGACTCGCAGGCGATGCACCAGCATTGCCGACAGCCTGGCCGAGCCCGGCACCTATGGAGCCCCCCGCAGCTGTCATGATGGTACCTTCGGCTGGTACTTTCGATAGGGCAGAGGCGGCTGCGATGGAGCCAGTCTGTGTGGCTAAGGAAGAAGTGGGCGACGTCGGCAAGGCTGGTGCCGAAGTATCGACGCTGCCTCTTTGCGCAGATGAGGCCCTCGCCTGTTGCGCTTCGCGAATGCTCTGCTGACTCTGCTGCTGCTGCAACTCCTGTTGGCGCTGGAAAGTCGGTATCGGTGGAAAGGAGGGGACGGAAGGCGATGAGTGGCCGCCGCTGCCGGTGACAGGCTGGTAGAACATGTTCTGCTGCTCTGGAATCCCCGGACCTAGATTATGTGACGGGAAGCCGGTCGGCGGTGGTGGTTGAAACGGTGAGCCGGTGGCCGAATAAGCGGTGGGCTGAGCTGCGCGTAGGCGGGGTGAGGTGATGTGCGAGGTGCGTGGCTGTGGTACTAGCTTGGGCGGAGGTGGCGCTGTCACCTTAACAGGAGTTGGCGCGTTGGGATCGCGATTCTTTGGCGGTCGACCGCGTCCGCGCTTGATGGGAACCGGGGTGGCGAGTGGCGAGTTGCTGCCAGAGGCCATAGCCTGTTGCTGGTGGTAAGGATTGGACATGATGGTCGACGATGCGGCGGTGAGAGCGCCGCGGTGATACGACTTCAGGTCACTTATCGAAGAGAAGCCCGAAAGCCCCAAATGTTACTTGGTTTCGGTATCTACCGTAGCGCTGTGGGTCGAAATGCAAGCGCTTCTTCCGAAACGATCGAGCACGGCACAAAGGAAGATGCTCACGAGTGGTAAGCGGAAACGATCCGGAGAGAGTTGATTGTAGATGCGCTGCTTAGTACCCGGAATGCGTTCGAGTAGCGAAGTCGAGCGCTGAGTCGAGGGTACAGGTCAAGGATAGAGGGTCGAAATGGCCGCTCGAGGGTGACGACGGCGATCAAGATGGAGTAGCGAAGTCGGACTCTATCTGCAGAAGGACGAGGATCGCAAACAAGGCTGAGTCGATCGCGATGCAAAGCTGTCGACGAGAGATCCAGATGAGAACGGTGCGGCGTGATACGGAGATAGCCGTGGATGCGAAGAAAGCCGAAATTGCTGTTGTATGCTAGAGGATGGTAGAGCGGTATGGAAATGTGAAGGTGGCGAGCACCTGCTTGTTGGATGCGGCGACAAGGAAACGGAGCTGACGATGGATGAGAGGTGACGGTGAGGGGAAGGAGATTGTGGATGAGGGTGAGGATGAGGCGATAGCTGAGCGACACCAAGTAGATCGGTCGGTGGCGAAGGAATGAGCGAATCAGGCATCGCCGGCCTCGACCAACCGAGCCTCAGCGAGATTGCGAATTACAGGTAGGTGACTTTAGTCAGGCAATTGTTTGCCATTGCAGACGGCTTCACGTCAAAACTCGAAGCAATCAAACAGTCGACGGAAAATAATTACCATAGAAAAAGACACGAAAATCAGTCAGCAGCAGAAAGGCACAATTGGCGAGGGGAGATACGCGTCGGCCATTTCTGACTCTGCACGACGCGGAGGAGATGGACTGAGCCTTCTCCCGTTTCGTCCTGCTTGCTTAGGCTTGCAAACATCAGGGCAGCGGCAGGTGGAGCAGCAAGACAGATTGTGACCAAGACAGAACTCAGCTTTTCAAGGCGCTGTACAGTGTAGCCGCTACGAAGAACCCAAGGGCAGCTTTAGATTTCAATTAGTCTCCCGTTCCCCAGGGTGAGGCTCTCTCTCTAGCTCTGGCTCGCCTCTCGCCTTCCCAGCCGGAGGTTCTGGCCGCGTTTGCGCACCTGATACAAATGCTGAGCCGTTCGCCATTAACGCCAGATTTAGACGCCAGTGACACAGTCGATTCATCACGGCACTCTCGTTTCGGCGAGCTGTTCATGACTACAGCATTTGACAGCAATGAACGCCGAACTGAGTTCATATCATTAGCAAGATGAACTTCGCTTTGCCGAACCAAGGCCAAGTCTCTGGAGTACCGTGGACATAGGCGGTTAGCAAGGTCGGCCCTTCCGACTGTATCAAGGCGAGACTTGATTCCCTGCGCTCGGGGCTGGCCAAAGCCTCGCATGCGGTCGAGTAGAGAGAAGCCTGCGACTTAGGAAGCGGCTGGGCAAAGGACGGCTGTGGTTAAGGTCTCCATTCAGGGATGAGAGAGCGGTGAATGGGGAAAGTGTGGAGCGGGGCCCTTCCCCGCGGAAACGTCTAAGGCTCCCATCTAAGTTCATGAGGCGACATCGGCTTTGTTTCCATCTTGCGCCTAAATTGCGATAGAATTGTCTGTCTGCTTGGCCTATTAGCTTGGCGGGAGGTGAGGTAAGCCGTCTCGACTGGACCACATGCCGAGAATGCTTGGCCACCCCCTTGTCGTGGTCTCCACTCTCGGCTCGGCAAATCAGCCTCCATCACGTAGGAGCGAGAGTTCAGTGCCCCAGCCCAGGAGACGGCTGTCCTCAATCTCGGAGCGGGGATCCCGTCATCGACACACTGACGTTGAACATCGTGGGAAATTCCGACGTCGCTTCGCCTCGCTTATCCATTTTTCTCTCCGTTGACCCACAGAAAATGCCCGTCAAGGCTCCACACCAGAACGCCACAGGGCAGCTGCGGCTCGCTTCGGCAGATTCTCGAGCTTTGGCCTTTCCTGGTTGACGTCAAAGACCTTCTGCCGGATCAGCGTTTCTCCGCTCCCGTTATTCTGTCTGAGGTGCGCATCCCGATCGACGACCTGCATCCTCTTTTCTAATGAGAGTCACGCTTCCGCTGCTATTTGCCTTCAACGGACGTTGTACACTGAGCGAGGCAACCCATTGGTTCACATCCAGAGCAGATCTTTCCATATGAATTCAGGTTCCACAGCAGCGAAACAGCAACAATACAAAGCGACAAGAACAGGAGCAAGGCGAAGCAATAAGCAGCGTAAAAGCAAGTGACAGTACGAGAACGACAAGTGACACGACATGTAAAGCGAAACAACCAGGAAATCTAGAGGGACATATAGAAGTGCAAAGCAGGAGAACCAACAAAATCACAAGCGAGAGTCTTCCATATCGTGCATCAGACGACGGCCTTCGCGGATGCCCTCGTGCTCGTGACCAAACCCATTAGCCTCGAGAGCCAACGCTGCGTTCTCAAACAGCTTGTTGCCAAACGCCTGCTCCATGGCCTCCCACACCGTCTTTACATACTTAATCTCCAACTCGTCGCGCACCTTCTTGGGCAGATCGGCTTCCACGTCCTTGCGGTTGCGGTGAGGCAGCAGCACCTTGCGGATACCGGCTCGCGACGCCGCAGTCAGCTTCTCGCGAATGCCTCCTACGGGCATCACCACACCTCGCAGCGTCGTCTCGCCCGTCATGGCCAGGTACGGCGAGATGGGCGTCTTGGTGAACAGACTCACCAGCGCACAAGTCATGGCTACACCGGCAGAAGGTCCATCCTTGGGGATCGCACCCGAAGGCAGATGCAGGTGGATGTCGTTCTTGGGGAATTCGGAATCGCGCGTCTGCACAATGCCGAGCTGGAAGGCATTGCCTTTCACCCAGGACAAGGCTAGCTCGGCCGACTCGCGGATCACGTCGCCCAACGAGCCCGTCAGCTTGAGATAGCCGCTACCCGGCGGAAGTAGCAGCGACTCGATGTGCAGAATGCCACCGGATCCGGAGCCTTGGTACGCCAGACCCGTCGATACACCGGGACGTGCGTTGGCTTCGGCCACCTCGGGCTCGTACGTATCCGGTCCGAGGTACCTTTCCAAGTCAGCCTCACGGATGACGGGATCATACTCCTTCGGGTTGCCCTGCTCGTCGCGCAGCGTGCCCTTCTTGGACTGCGAGTACTCGACTGCCTTGGCTCGTGCCAGCGCGCCAATCTCCCGTTCCAACGTTCGCACACCCGCCTCGCGCGTGTAGCCCATGGCCACCTTGAGTAGCACCTCGTCCGAAACGACGAGTTGGTCCGACGTGAGACCCTGCGCCTTGATCTGTTTGGGCAAGAGGTACTGGCGTGCGATGGCCGTCTTTTCGTCGTGCGTGTAGCCAGAGATGTGAATCACTTCGGTACGGTCGAGCAGCGGAGGCGAGATGGTGTCGAGCGAATTGGCGGTGGCGATGAAGAGCACACGGCTGAGGTCGATGGGCACGTTGATGTAGTGGTCGCTGAACGTGTGATTCTGCTCCGGGTCCAACACCTCGAGCATGGCCGCCATGGGATCGCCGTGCAGGCCGTTGCCGCTGCCGAGCTTGTCGACCTCGTCGAGCAGGATGACAGGGTCAGAGACGGCCACCTTGCGCAGCGACGAAACAATGGAACCGGGCATGGCTCCTACATAGGTTCGGCGGTGACCGCGGATCTCGGCTTCATCCCGAACACCGCCAAGCGAGAGTCGGGTGAAGGGTCGTTGGAGGGCAGATGCCAGCGACTTGGCGATCGAGGTCTTACCCGTACCAGGTGGACCAACGAGGAGGAGAATCGGTCCCTTGTCGCCAACGCGCAGCTTCTCGTTGCGACGACGTCGCTTCTCCTCTTCGATGTCTTCCTTGCTGATTCCCTGCTCGCGAGCCACGAGATCCTCGCCACCCTCGAGCTCGGCTGCCATGGCAGCATCGTCATCTGCACCGGCGATAGCGTCTTCGGTGGAGGCAGAGGGCGTGACCTTGTGTCGATCTTGGCTTGTCTTGCGCTCGGCAGCCTCTTCAGCTTCAAATCGTTCGCGAGCCTGGTTGGTCTTTAGCTCGAGCACGGCGAGGTATTCGATGAGACGCTTCTTGACTTTTTCGAGACCGTAGTGGTCAGCATCGAGGATGCGCCTGGCACGGTCGACGATGCCCTCCTCGGGTGCAGGTGGCGAGTCGCTGTTCTGCTGAAGAACGAGCGCCTTGTCGTTGGGATCGCAGGCAGGCTCGACATCGGCGCTGATCTTCTCCCATGGTAGCTCAGCCATGATCTCAAGGTAGGTGATGACGACGCCGCGCTCGACGCTCTGCTGTGGGATGCGTGAGAGTCGCTTGAGCTCCTTGTCGCAGGCCTTGCGTGCTTCTGGGCTGAGACGAGCTTGCTCGAGCTTCTTTGCCAGCTCAGCGACCTCGTCCTCGTCGTCATCGCCACCGCTGGAGCCAGGAAGACCGCCGCCTGGCATGCCTTTCGCGCCAGGCTTGGCGCCGCGTCTTCCACCGAGGGGACCGGTGATGATGGGACCGGTGCCGTTGTCGTTGGTGTGGTTGTTGCGCGAAGGAGGTGCGCGGATGATGATGCTCGGCTTGCCGTCGTCCCTGTTGCCCGTGTTGGAGGTGATGGCCGAGATGCGGGCAGCGACACCCTGGTTGAGCGCTGCAAGCTGGTTGAGCAGGGCTTCAAGCTGAGAGCGGATGACGGCCTCCTTGTTGTTGGGGTTGAGAGGAGAGGAGAGGGCGGTGAGGAGCTCGCGTGCGAGTTTGACGCGCTTGACGCCATTCTGGATGACGTCAACCGAGTGACGGACGCGCTCGCGTTGGTCCCAATCGCCGAGGATGGCGACGCGCTCGGACCACTCACAGGCGCCGCCAAGAGTGCCGACGACAATGTCGGCGAGGAGCGCAGCTTGCGACTCGCGGCAGTCTTGCATGAAGCCGCGAAGCTTCTTGAGGAGGCCTGCTGGAAGCAGAGGCAACGCAGGACCGACGATGGGCGAGGGAGTGTGAGTGGAGCCATTGCTGGGTGGGTTGAGCTGAGCGATGGCATCAATGAGCTCGGCAGACGACTTTTTGAGCCTGACTACGAGATCGATGTCGCCGGGAGAGGCTTCTGGGAAGGTGGGCCACGACTCTTCGTCGACGAATGCGGTGGCTGTGGCAAGCGGAACGGGCACATCAGGGACGGCGAGATTGCTCTTGGGGTCGATGGTGGTGGCGGTGAGGGGCGCACGGATCGAGAGCCAGCGGTCGATGCGAACACGGGTTAGGCCAGATACAAGAAGGGTGCATGTCTGTGTTTGAGGGTTGCGCACCAGACGCATGAGACGAGCAGCGCAGCCCCAATCGTAGAGGTCGTTGATGCGAATGCGAGTGTCGTTGTCTTCGGTGGTGGTGACGAGGCTGCGTGCGTTGGTGTCGCTCGGCAGCGCTGGGTTGGTGGCGCGGGAAGCGGGCTTGTCGGCGGAAGCTGTGCCCTTGGGAGCGATGAGCGTAGGGACGCAAGCGATAATGATGGGTTTGTTGGAGTCTAGCTTGGAGCGGCCGCTTGCGGAGCGAGAGCGGGACGCGGCATCGTTGTTTGATTCGACGTCGTCCTTGAGCGCCGAGTACTGCAACGCGGCCTTGAGGAGGCTGAGCGAGTGCGCATACGAGATATTGATGGAAAGGAGAAGATTGGGATGCAATACCAGCGGATAGGGAAGCGGCAAGACCGGCAGACGGTCAGGAATCGAGATGCTCGGGTTCATCTTTGACGTTGAGCGCCGTTGATTAGACGCGCGATGCGTATGTTTGAGACCAGATGATAATACGGATCCTATGCGATTGCGCGCGGTGTGGCGACGAAGAGACGTTTCGAGATGGAGCCAGCGTGTGAGGTATTGCCGCGGTGTCGGGTACTGACAATGGATCGGTCGAGGTTGGTGCGAGGATGGAATGAAGATGACGGAGAGAAAGTAGTGGATAGCTTGATGGTGAGGATGGCTATGGTGTTGGCAGCAGGATGAAACTCAGCTAAGCACCAACGACGATCCCAAGTATGTAGTCATGCCAAATCTAGACTGCGGGGTGCAACGCGGCCTGCCAACGGCTTCTCCGGCACGGGCTGCGACCGGTTTGCTTGTGTGCTCGAGTGCGTGCGTGAGCGCATATCAGAGCCTGAGTTTGAGTCTCAGTCGAGTGTGTGTGTGAGTGCGCGTGTGACTGCGACTGCCACTGAGATTAGCCACAATTTCACTCGATGCGTAAGCTGGCCTGGCCGAGACTGAATTTGAAGCCCTTTTTTGAGTGTGGAGTAACTAAAGGGTCAGGGCCGGGCGGCTTTCAACGCTGCCGATCCTGCAATCAAGACTGACAGAGAAAGTGCCAGAAAAAGAAGCAGACAGTTGCGTCAGTCTTTGGTTCCGTTCATAATCAGCGGCTGTCTATCATGGCGCTCTTGCCCAGGCAGTGGCTCATCATCCATCTCGCTATGAAAGGCCTCTTACCAGCTGCATTGTGTCCGGTCATACTCCTTGCTGCGACACTGAGCCATTCCCAACATCACCCTTGCGCACGCCCGCTTGCAACCGACGCTGGTGCACAGCTGGATGCCGAACTGGGCGCAGGGTTTCGAATCGCCCCCAAGACTGCAGTTTGTGGCACATGAGACCGCATCCTTGGCTGCACTCGGTCCAGACCCTTGCAGCGAATTTTCGGTTGTGTGTAAGACCTTGCAACTATACATGTTTTCTTTGTTTTTGACCCGATTGATCCGATCCACATCGGTCCTTGGCGCGGCAGCAAATGAGAAAGGTGTTAATTTCGGTCTCAGCCAGAAGACGGCTGAGTCGAGGGCAGGCAAGCTCGACAGTGTAGCTGTCGCTGTCGCTGCACTCTGCAACCGAGCGTTTTGCTTTTTTTTTCTTGCGCTTGGTGGGACTACCAACCCGAATCAACTTGGCTCACTCCTTTGACCACCACCATCCTTGTTCCGTTCAAACCACCATCCACTTGAAATAGCATTCGCACGCAGCCATCGCATCGCAGCAACGTTCAGTTACCTGTCATCGCCGCGACGCTTCTCCCTCTCACTGCAACCGCCTACAAAAAGCATCTGCCAGCTTTCTCTCCAGCTCGTCTCCCTCACACACGACAGCTGTGCTACCCTAGAACCCATCCCGTCGCCAACTTTTTTCTCAAGCGCAACGACCCCCCGACGACACTCCGTTTTTATGTCGATCTTGTTCTCCACCATAACTCGTCCATCTGTCAACTCGCCCTTTGCCCGCAGACAAAAACCGCCCTACACGGTTTTGCATCGTAGCTGTACTTGATACATCTACTCTCTACCTCTGATCCTTCTTTGGTGTTTCCACCCTACCTGCATCTGCCATTATGTCCGTGGTCAACATCCGTCGCGACGTCGACGACAAGTTCTACCGCTACCGCATGCCCCTCCTCCAGACCAAGATCGAGGGCAAGGGCAACGGTATCAAGACCGTCATTCCAAACATGTCCGACATCGCCCGCTCGCTCAGTCGTCCACCTACCTACCCGACCAAGTTCTTCGGATGCGAGCTTGGCGCTCAGACCTCGTTCGACGAGAAGAACGACCGCTACATCGTCAACGGCGCCCATGATGCCGACCGCCTCCGTGAGCTGCTCGACGGCTTCATCGACAAGTTTGTCCTCTGCGCCGACTGCAAGAACCCAGAGACCGATCTCAAGATCCTCAAGGACGGCGATATCCTCCGCAACTGCAAGGCCTGCGGTAAGCGCACCGGCGTCGACATGAAGCACAAGCTCACCACCTTCATCGTCAAGCACCCGCCTCCCAAGCGCGTCAAGGGTGCCAAGGGCGCCGGCAAATCCGCAGGTCAGGACGCCGGCGACGCTGGTTCCGACGACGAGCTCACCAAGCGCATCAAGGCCGAAGCGGCCGAGATCCCTACCGCCGAGCAGCGCGGCAATGTCGACGATGACTGGTCCGTCGACACTTCCGAGGCTGCCGTCGCTGCACGTGTCAAGGCGCTCGAAGGCAGCGTCAAGTCTTCGCTCGTACTCGGCGAGGATGACGAGGAAGAAGACGAGGACAGCCCTTACACCCAGTTCGGTCAGTGGCTCCAGGCCAACCGCAAGGGCGGCGAAGAGGACCGCGAGTGCACCCCTGCCGAAGTCTACAAAAAGGCGCAGGAGTTCGGCATCGAAAAGAAGCACAAGACCGTTCAGGTGCTCGCCCAAGCCCTCTTCACCGAAGACGTCGCCAAGGAGATCGAAAAGTACGGTGCCGTGCTCGTCAAGATGGTCGGCGACTCGGAGAAGCACCAGAAGGCCATGCTTGGCGGCTTTGAGCGTCTCGCTGGTGTCCAGTACCCTTCGCTCGTGCCCAACGGTGTTCCCAAGATCCTCATGGCTCTCTACCAGATCGATGTGTTGGACGAGGAGTTTGTCAAGAACTGGGGCACGCACGTGAGCAAGAAGTACGTCGACAAGGATACCTCCAAGAAGGTGCGTCGTGCTGCCGCTCCTTTCCTTGAGTGGCTTGATCAGGCTGATTCCGAATCCGAAGAGGACTCTGATGAGGACGATGAGGAGGAGGAGGCTCCTAAGGCGAAAGCAAAGGCTAATGGCAATGGAGCCAAGAAGGCTGTTCAGCAGGAAGAGGAGGAGGAGGACGATTCGGATCTTGACAACCTCTAGACGTTTAGAGGAGAGTGCTTCGCAATGCATACGTTTGCTCGTCGAGGCCGAGGTAATGCGCAGTCGATCGATTGGCAAGGAATGACGTGGGGGTTTCTGTTTTTCTCAAGAAAGATCTTCGTCTCTGCTCTGTTCCATGTTTCTCAGCATTTCAAAATTCAATTGGGTCACACGAAAACGGGCGTGGTGGTGAAATGGAGTGGGATTGCGAAGTGCAAAGTGACAAATCCTGCAGAGTGCTATTGGGGTGAATCCTGTGGTGCATAAGTGCCGAGGTAAGCGGCCAACGAGCTTTTTCCATCGACCTGGATCCACGGGGCCAAGTTGTGTAGTACGGCAGCGGTGTAAGCTGCTAGTGTGGGGTAGTAGGTGCTGCGAGGGTGGTAGGCTGTTAGGGCGCAGCGGAGGGATTCGAATAGCGGGGTTGGATTTTGATGCTCCAGTTCGCGTGGGTATCGCGAAGTACATTTGATGTCGGATTTGAAAGGTTTAG